AGTAATTGTGACTTGTACGTGTGGCGCAAATTGGCCTTTATTAAATATTCAATCAATTCTACCGTTCTACAGCATGTTGACTTAGCACAATATTATACATGCATCGGCATATTGGCATTGAATTTGTTGGTTAAATTGTACATACCACGTTTGTATCTTTTTAAGTCTCAACCGTTGTTTAATAAACTCTGTTTCCAAGGTATGTCTGTAACCGTGAGAATATTTTCTTAAACTTAATTGCAGCAAACATGCACCGGATGAATATATTTTACGGCAATTTACGCCATGTAATTAGTGTACTGACTTTAGCTCGCGAGCAAATACGGTTACTCTAGATGGCTAAAATTCCTACGACACAGTCACAGACACAGTATACCTCTAAATCATCAATCCTTTGTAGAAAAGCAGAAACCAACATATAAAATCGTACTTACAGTCTGATCAATCTTTTCCAATAACTTAGAAAAATTGGGTAATTATAACCACACAGTCGAGCGATTCTGTGGCTGGCGTCGGTACGATCCGTCGGTATAATTTTACAAGCCTTGAATGGATTAAGTTGACACAAGGTTAACTGAAGTACATGACAATATCAATCCCCAGTTTATTGTCCATAGTGGCGGGTGTTATATAGTATCTATCAAAGCTGTCAATAATCTAAATACAACAAGCGTCGATTAGCGATGACTTTGCTGATAACTCCACGCAAGCCAAAAGCACCCCGTTGTTTCTGGAAAAAAGGGTCGAATATATTTACTGTAATTATAAACTAACCAAGGGGGTGAACTATATAGACTGTTGGAAGCTGAATGTTTGAATGTTGAAACTGTTAGAAAAGATATAGATTTTACCACGAAATGGTACCAGGTGAATTAATGCATGGTATTCTGCGAATCTGATAGGGAATCAAGTTCAGCCGGACTTTAATTTTAGATTATCAAATTCAAAACTGGCAGCGAAAGCTATTTAAGTGTACTGCGATTTGTATTCAAAACCAGAGGCAAGGCAGAGGGCCCATGCTGAGATTCAAAATTGCTCATAAGAATGTTTTATATACGCCCATCGCAGATTGACCACAATGTGAGCATGAATATTATTTTAAATACTGCCTTGGAAAGAACAGATTCAACAAGGTGGAAATTGGGGCGAATTAATAATTTTTAAAAAACTGAAAATAAATTTTCGCTCCGAAAAATATCTTTCTTCAATTCACAATTTTACTGACGTGCGTCGTGAAGTTGTTACAAAAATTAAGAATTTCAGCATATTGGTTACATGTTGAAACTGGACATATATTATACAGCGACAGATAATGTGAACAGAAACGAACAACATTTTATTTTTTGATCTCTTACAAAAACACAAAGTTCGCCGACCGTGTAATGAATTTTGTTGATAATCTCTGTAAATTAAATTATAGTTCAAGCCCGGTTAACAACTTGTAACAAGCTTGGTGGCATTATCAAACGTGTACAAGGTTGTTCTAACAAGTCTGATACAGTCATGATATAACAAGAATGTTACAAGGTTGACGACACAAGGTTGTAACAATATTGTTATATCATGACTGTATCAAACTTGTTGGAACAACCTTGTAACAAGTCTGACAATATTAGCAAACTTGTGACAAGCAGTTAACAACTTGTAACAAGCTTGATGGCATTATTAGACTTGTTACAAGGTTACTCTGAGTGTATATCCACACTGGGCAAGCTTGAAAAACATGCCTGACCACGGTGGGAATCGAACCTACGACCTTTGGAATACTAGCCCAATGCTCTGCCAACTGAGCTACGCGGTCTGGTCGGTTCGAGTATGTGATATTTCGGAACAGAATCTAGTTCTTTCGATATCAATGTTATCTAATAATAATCATGATTTTTCCGTGTTGGTATACATTGGTATACATTACACTCAGAGTAACACCACAAGCATCATATTCACCTGAGTACATTACACCAACACAGAAAAATCATGATTGTTACAAGGTTGTTCTAACAAGCCTGTTACAGTCATGATATAACAAGAATGTTACAAGGTTGACGACACAATGTTGTAACAATACTGCTATATTATGACTGTATCGCACTTGTTGGAACAACCTTGTAACAAGCCTGATAATATCAACAAGTTTGTTACAAATTGTTAACAGCTTGTTCCAAACTTGTTGACAACTTGTTACAAGCAGTGCGAAGACAACTTGTTGACGGCTTGTTGACAAACGTGCTACAAGATGTGAGAATTTTGCGTGTGTATATACACGCGTAAAAATTTCACATCTTGTAGCAAGTCTGCCAAGCCGTTAACAACTTGTAACAACTTTGTTGATACTATCAGACTTGTTACAAAGTTGTTCCAACAAGTCCGTTACAGTCATGATATATCAGTATTGTTACAACCTTGTGTCGTCAACCTTGTAACAGTTTTGTTATATCATGACTGTATCAGACTTGTTAGAACAACCTTGTAACAAGTCTGATAATTCCATCAAGCTTGTTACAAGTTGTTCACAGCTTGTTCCAAACTTGTTCCAACAACTGGGAACAAGCAGTGCGAACACAACTTGTCGACAGCTTGTGGACAGACTTGTAACAACTTGTTTGCAGACTTGTAACAATTTGTGCGTTTTTACGTGTGTATAACTCACTTACACACGCGTGAAAATCGCACATCTTGTAGCAAGTCTGCCATGCAACAAGCTGTCAACCATCCACATTTTCACATTCATTCTTAATTTTTAATCCGTGTCACTGAAATATAAATATTTGTTCTTCCTATCCAAATCTACGTTTTGCCGACTGGGATTCAATATATTGCCAATTACCTGATAACTGGGGAGGGGGGGTGTTATACCCCCCCCCCCCCAACACATACACACCCGGCCGCTGGCCCTGCCAAGGTCGCGTGACTTGGCACTCCATGATGGACCGTCTTCGTGTGATCCAAGTTTTAATAGACATGCATCGACAGAAACTGAAATCAGATTTTTGTAGAAAACAAATTTATGATTATAATGTATTTCAATAAATTAAGGCCTGGTTTATACAGCGTGCTATGAGCGAACAGAGCCAATTTTTAAATTAGTACTGCCAGGCACTCTATTAGCACGCATTCTGATTTATACGTAACGTATCTGAGCGAGCCAATTTTATAAAGTTGAGCCATAAAGAGTCGTATAATGAGCGTAACATTAATACAATATGGCGTCTCATATACTGTTTCAATATAGTTCGCTGATGGCACTGTGGTTTAAATCAAGGGCGTGCTTAAGGTTACAGGACACCCTTTTTGGCGTTTTGCGGAAAATCGCTACTGCGCGCTCAATATCAGTCCGATTGTCATCAAATTTTCACCAAATGTTCTCCAGTGCATGAAAAATATGGTAAAGTTGTAAAATTAACAAACAATAAAATAATGTAAGAATTATTCAGGAAAATCTTAAATCGCGGTACCGTTACGCTTTTGAGTTGTGCTCCTGCTGGTTTTAAGTTATATTTATGAAAATATCATTTTTATACAGTAAAATAGTTGTTTTAAAAATTTTGTTCGGAAATTTTTGTTTATTTCGTCATTCCGCTGATATGGCGATTTCTTTGACGACTGCAATATATTTCTGAATCGTTTGAGTGAATTGCTCTTTATTTTTAAAATATCCAAAATTAAAAAAAAGCCGAACACAATTTTGAAGCTGACGTATTTTAGCTATGTCCTGTGAAAATTTGAGAGAAATTGGTTAAAACCCGCAGGAGCACAACTCGTTTGAAAATCAGTAATTACCGTAAAATTCTTCGGGAGAAAATTGAATTTGAATATTACATTTTCAATGTTTTTCTTATTGCAGCGAAATGTATTTTATTAAATAACTCTGCGAGTTTTCAACATTTTTCGTTCAAACTTGGTCAGATAGTAGAACTAGTCTAATGCTTTCATTGAAACCAATAAAAAAATTTTAGGCAAAATTAACATTCAAAGGTGTTCTGTAACCTTAACCGTGCTACGAGCGTTCGGCACGCCTTCGACGAGCGAACCGCACGGTCAGGAGCGAACCTAATTCAGAAGGTGAACAAATTTGATTTAGACAGCGTGCTATATGAGCGAACTTATTAGTGAAGTAATTGGTTCGGTGCGCTCATAGCACGCTGTATAAACCAGGCCTAATATATGAAAATAAAGTTTACATAGAAAGACCTTAATACAGATGAGATGTCGAGTGTATTTTTAATAGACCAACCAGTGGTGGCTGCAAATGCGATTTTAAAATATGTTTATATTTTAAATATGTTCATATCTGCAGTTCTATCTTACAGGTCAAGTGTGTCCGGGAACAAAGGTCCATGCCACCCCCATGCAAAATCTATGCCCTTGCTATTCCATTATGAAACATTGTCGTGTTTATACATCCGTATTTGTTTTTCTAAACGAAGTCATCTTGGAGAGGAAAAACAACTCGTTTCTATAAAAGCCACTTTTACAATTACCAAATACCTCGTTAATTCAATCATATTATCATAATATGAAATCAAAGTATAAAAAAGCACGAAGGTCAGCACTTTCGCTATTAAGTGTTATTGGTATAAGCATTTATAACTCTCGCAAATGGTAAAAATATTTCCTGCTGTTTTTCACTTAATTTTCACGCTGAGTAGCTGCGAGTACCTACGATGAGGCGCTGTGCTTTTGAAAAACCATGTTTATATTTGTAGCTTCCCAAAAAAGGCCGATCTAGTTAATACGCCACACAACTTTTACCAAAAACTGTCGCATGCAACCTGCTTACAAATTGAGTTGTACTGTGTAAATCAATCACATAACTCGTCTATGTTGTTGTAAGTGAGTTGTGTGCTTGATTTACACAGTACAACTCAAGTTGTAAGCAGGTTGCATGCGACAGTTTTTATATAGGCAAAAGTTGTGGAGTATATAAAAAAACCTTTATTAATTTTTTTTTCTGTGCTGTTGGTGTATATCCACACCGGGCGAGCTTGAAACTGAAATATGCCTGGCCACGGTGGGAATCGAACCTACGACCTTTGGAATACTAGCCCAATGCTCTGTCAACTGAGCTACGCGGTCAGGTCGGTTCGAGTAAGTGATATTTCGGAACCGAGAATCTAGTTCCTTCGATACCAATGTAATCTAGTAATATGATTATTTCTGTGTTGGTGTTGTGTACTCAGGTGAATATGATGTTTGTGATGTTACTCTGAGCACAGAATAAAGAACAGTAACAGAAGGGCCACTCAGCGATGCAACGTGTCCGCGTTTTTTTATGCAAAAATATGCAGTTTACTGGCCAGAAGGCGGAGCAACCAGCCAGTACAGCGTGTTTATTGGCCAGAAAATGTCATTGACTGGCTAGGAAAATGGCGGCCAACATGCGTAATGCGACATGCGCGAGGACAGAAACATCAAAGCTTCCGACGTAAGTGGCCCTTCTATATGGATCTTTATTCTATGCTCTGAGTGTATATCCACACCGGGCGAGCTTGATTACAAGATTACATTGGTATCGAAGGAACTAGATTCTGTTCCGAAATATCATACTCGAACCGATCTGACCGCGTAGCTCAGTTGGCAGAGCATTGGGCTAGTATTCCAAAGGTCGTAGGTTGGATTCCCACGGTGGCCGGGCATATTTTTCAAGCTCGCCCGGTGTGGATATACACTCAGAGTAACATCACAAACAAACGTTTATTAAGTTATGCAAGTCAATAGCCCTTGAATGAGTTCTCGAGATAATTCAAGTCAATAGCCCTTTCCCAAGTGCGGTTTTGATACAACTATACAAGTATATTTTTCTGAATTGTGCATGGGTTTACATTCTGAATTGTGCATGCCTTCGGCATGTAGTTCTATATCGAAATATCGAATGAAACGCCCAAAATCCTGACATTTAGGCTATACCCATATTATACGTTACACTTGCTGGCATCATCTTATATATTACTTAGTATACACAACCATAATCCAAAAAAGGTTATTGTCCTTTGCAAACCTTAATCCTTAAACTTTACTTCGGATTTAGTTTTATTGCTTGCTTTTATAATTGTAAACGCTTCTAAAATTGCGACCATGTCTGCATGCTGCCCCTCAACGCTTAAATACGCTTTCTAATCGCAGTTGTCCATGCTATCTGCTGCCCTGCAGTTGTGAGATAATTTCATACTTTCATTTAACAGATTAACATGGGAGGAAAGATAGAATTATTTTGGCTGCTCGTAGAGTTCGTGTTATTTATAATTGATCTGGTCACAGACATAATAGTCGCTGTCGAATATAGGCGTCAAGGTCATACTGTGTGGTTTGGATGGACATTATGTTTTATTATCGTTCCTCTTGTCCTCATCAGTATTGTGGCGGTTTTCATAGAAATTGAAAATGAAAATTCAGAAGGTTGTGAAATTTTATGTTGTTGTTGTTGTTGTTGTTCTTGTTGTCCAGTGGTTTTAGTTTTGGCCATGTTTCTGCGTTTTGTACAACAGATTGCACATTGGAGGGGAACAGATTGGGATGACGAAGAAGACGTACACGAGTATAACAAGTCAAATTACCAATTTTCGTGGTTACATTATGTAAGGGTAATTACAGAGTCCGCTCCACAATGGTGTCTTCAGGTTTATATCATGTTTCGTCAGGGAAGTTCGCCAGGGTACATCATGCTATCAGTCGTGTTTTCTTTCCTCTCGTTGGCTTGGGGTATTACCAATATTGAGAAAAGAAGAATAATGAAGAATGGCCATGACTTCAAACTGCCAGCTACAGTCGTATTTTTCACCCTTCAACTGTTTACGTTGTTGCCCAGGCTTTTTGCAATCGTAATCTTTGCATACGTCTTTGGAACATCAGTTTTTGTTATTTTGTTAGTCCACTTGCTGGTGATAACTTGTGTTCTATGGAACAAAGAGTTTGGTGGTATGTCTTGTGAGAATGTTGCCGCTTTTGTGTTTGTCTTCTTAATGTCCTTTCCGTTTTTGTTTCACCCGTCAAGGGTTCTACTCACTGAATGCTACTCACACACATTCTATAACACACTGTATTGTGTAATGTCCGCTCAAAACTTTATCTGTACACTCACGGCTATTTTTATAATAAGACCAGACGTTGAACATTTAAATGTAGCCGGACCGATCGCGGTGTCTATCGTTACAGTCGCTTTGGTACTAGGTACCGTTTTAACGGTAGTATATTATTTTAAGTACCCCGAGACGACAGAAAATCCACCAGCTTAATTGAACTTATGATAGACAAGAGTTAGTAGAACGCATGCATTAACAGTCTATTGTGGAACAGCACGTGTTAATTATTGATATACAGAAATAATAATAACAATAATAATAAAATAATTTTAATGCTACACACGTAAAAATCTCACATCTTGTAGCAAGTCTGCCGACAAGCCGTCAACAAGTTGTGTTCGCACTGCTTGTCCCAAGTTGTCAATAAGTTTGGAACAAAGTTTTTGACCGTTGCAACCTTGTTGATGTTAGAGAGATTCAGATTTCACTACCGCTACTTCTTACATGCTTACTACGCATCTGATTGGTTAATCGGATATAGCAAACGCATCTGCATGATTGGTTAATGGTCCAGCCCTCAATGGTCAAATCTGAACCGGTTGCAAGGTTGTTCCAACAAGTCCGATACTGTCATGCACATTACATGTTTAACAAATATAAAACATTTCCCGCGTTGATATACAGTTATACCAACACGAGTGGAAATTGGGAAAACTCGAAATTGTGTGAAAACACTAGGACTTCGATATTCGAAGTAAAATGAAATAATTATCCACGCATTACCGCAAGAATTAATTATCCATGCATTTATCAAAGTATCATCGCGGTTGTCGCTGCATTATTCGTTTGATACTAATTCAATTGGACATCACTTTGTCAGCTTATTGACATGTATTTCTTGTTTTTATATTTATTTAGTTAAATATTTCAACTTCAATGAGAAATTTATTTTATTAAAGAATTCTTCGGATCGGATTGGATTGGAATTGTTTATCAAAACTCGGTTCGGATTCTGATTAGACAATTTCGGATCAGACTCGGATCGGATTTTAAACATTAGGCAATTGTTGGATTATAAACGTCCAATCCGATCCGATGCACACCTCTAGTTTTCACACAATTTCGAGTTTTCCCAATTTCCACAAGTGTTGACATAACTATACATCAATACGGAAAAAATGTTTTATATTTGTTTTATAATATAGCACAAAGAAATATAAAAAAAGAAATTTTCCGACGTTTCCGTGTTGACATTGATATATTTCACACAGGTATTAGCCAATCAGCGTTCAGAATTTACCAATGCTATATTATAAAATCTATTTAAAACACGCGCATGCAGGAGTGTTTTATCATATTGAAATTGCGAGTGCGCAGCACAAGTTTTTTCACGTGACCTATTATGGTTGAAATGATTTGCCAATAAGCTTATGAATTATTAATGTTTGAAAAATATATATAACAATATTGTTACAACCTTGTGTCGTCAACCTTGAAACATTCTTGTTAACAGCTTTGTAACAATTCATTTGCATCCTGTGGGCAACTTGTGCGTTTTTACGTGCGTAGAAGAATGCTGATATGCAGGGGCGGATTCAGTTCCTGAGCTGACTGATGCCTATAAGACCTCGCATTTGTAGGGGGGTCCGGGGGTATCCTCCCCCGGGAAATTTTGAAATCTAGGACCTCGGAAATGCGATTTCCTGCGTTCTGAGAGAACTCTTTTGTTCCAATTCATACATCAAAATTATTTGCTGCATTTTTGGAAAGCACGTAAAAAACTTGAACCTATATCGTAAAAACAACATAATTTCTCTATATAAGAAAACAATATTTGCTTGTACAAATGTAATAGCAGCAGTGGTACATAAGTCTCTATTCAAAAATAGTCAGTACTGTGCTTCTTGTATCCTTAACTTTTCTATTGAAAAAATTTTCGGCAAAATATCACGAGCAACGCAAATACACACATGCGTGTAATAAAGGTGTATACAGTGTGATCCACTAGTTGCATTGCTGGACTCAGAAGGCAGTGTTATTGTGTTGTTTTTTAACCACCTTCCCTTATTAGTTTCCACTAATTTCCAATGTTCCATGAGTAAAATCTTCTAGCATTAGAATGGTGCATAAAGGTATTTTGTGCTCTAGTGGGTAAACTTATTTATATACAACTCTGTCTTACGCTGCTAATCTTACTCTGTATGGACAGCATGGTTGACATCAGTTGGTCAATTTCATTAAATTCATTCACCCCTAGCTGCCTTTGACATGAACTGCATGGTGAATAGCCCACACTCTGAATACTGAGAATATTGCCCTGTGACCAGGAAACCAGTAAACTAACACACAAGCACTGGGTTAAAAATTCTATTAGTACAACTATAGGTATACACGACCACAAATTTTAAATCAATAGAGACTGCGTGTAATAAATTGATTTAATGAACTATCTTAGTTGGAAATTGTTTGTCAAATGAACCTACCAAACTGTACAATCATTATGATAAACAATATACCATGACATAATTTAATCATGTCTTCTATCTGTCCCCTTTTGCCTGCCTTTCAACTAATATTAATATAGTATTCTTTTAAGATGTTGTCAATGTAGAAAGGCTGCACAGTAGTATTGATGAATATTTTCCCTGTGTTATTATATAAATGCACATCTTTGTCAAATATATATCCATACACTTATCAATGGTAATCCTCAGGGTATATAGTATTGGGACAATTAGCACAACAAATATATAATTTAATTAAATATATTTTCCAAACTATCCCACTTTTGTGAGCAAATTTCATAATTATATCCCATATACACCAGTTACAGTTACATACGGTATTTATACCGTCCATCATTTTATCATTCCAAGATTAAAATCTGTCAGGAGAATGACATATACAGCTTATATCAAATTATATTTGCACAGACAAAGCATATATCCTCAACTATATGGTAGGTGAGCAAGCCCAGGTAATCATCTTTGTTTGCAAAATATCCAGTGTACAGTAATTGCCCAATAACTCAGCCAATGCAAAGCAATTAGACTCTTGTCATGAGGCATGCCAGCTCATTTCCATATAAAATGAAAATGAAATGTAATAGGAGATACCACTGGAACTTGCAACTTGAACCAATTACCTTTCAATGTAAACTCCCCCTTAGTCTTCTAACCAATATTGCATCACTATTAGAAATCTCATATTAATATTAACCTGCAATATTATTATGCATTGTAATTACATACAGAGCCTGATGCAAGTCTTGACCCACACCATAGTTTTATTTTTAGTACCAGTATCCAATCAAAATGTGCCAGGAGAAATGTCAATTTCACATAATTTAACAACAAGCTAAATATAGTTACAATCACTAAATCTATAATTATTTAATTATATATAGCATTAATTAAACAAAATATCAAAAAATACATTAAATATGGCATGAATACTCTAAAAATAGCTAGAAATAGCCAATCAGAGTTACAACCATAAAGGTAGTTGTAGGACACAAACATTTAATAACATGTGTATCAGGTCTTCAAACTTCTTTGCCCGCCAGCTGTGAGAAAAAATTATGAAGGTCTGGGCACAGGTTATAATCCCATGTAAACAGAGATGAAATTTGCCTAAGTAAAGCAAGCTGTCAAGTTTGGTATTAGGGCTGGTTTGCCTCCAGACAAGCAAACCTCTGTTACTCGGTAAAGACTGTAAAATGTCAAACTACCTCATCCAACCCCCCCTGCTGGTATAAGCAACAGTTTTTGAACTAACCCTACCTAGTGAGCGTTACACCACTGAGGGGGGAGGTGGGTGAGGAAAGGGGGGCTTCAACTATTTTTGCCTGAATTGGGGGTGGCCTCAAAATATGTGACAAGGGGCGACCCCAAATTTTGAATACTTTCCTACTCATTTTCAATCTCTTGCCTTTATCATATTGCAAAATATTTCACCTTTTTTAGTTCCTATAATCGTAATTTCCATAGTTTATTACATACACTGTATATGCAGTTCATGATAGGAGTCAGAGTAAATAACAACCATTTTGAATACTCTTATTCTTACACCAGTACTTGTACCATTACCTATTTTACACCAACTAAGTAACAAATTAAATGTTGGAGGGGGGGTGGCTAAATTTCTAAATGAAGGTGGAGGCATCTTGAAAATAAAGGTCTTGTGATTGGGGCGGCTCTACAAAATGTTCAATATTTGGTATCTATCACCCACCGCCCCCACCTCCCATTATTAATGAGTAGTCCCCTATGAAAGGTTTTTATCCAGTAAGATTTACTATATAATTCTAAAGCACGTGCATCTTTCGACCTTTATGAAGACATACTATATTATTATATGAGTGTAGTACTGCAGTAAATCGATAAAGGATTTATGTATGCATAATTTGGATCTTTCATATTAAAATATTGCACACACGGTATTCGTATGAATATTTATAAGACAATTTTACATATTGAAATTAGTTCACTTACCAAAAAGTGCATTTGATTTTATTTTATTTTTATTTATTTATTTATTTTGCCACAATAGAGAGAGATATATATATATACACACACACTTAAGAACTAAACAAGACAGAAAACAACTAGTCAATGAATACTTCGTGGCCGGGTACCCACAACAGCGTGTGAAGCCAATTACTGTGGTCCCGATTTGATACATCTCCAACCACTACTTGTCCTTATTTTGTACTCTTCAAATTTCTCAAGCATTTCTTCTTGTGAAGCGCAAACAAGCACTCGGTCACTCTTCGATGAAAGCCATATTGCTTTGGTTTCGCGCGTTTTTTTCCAATTTCGCGCACTAGTTTATTTGAATTTTTAACCCTATTAGCGAGACATGAATCTATATCCGAATTTTAAAGATGGAATACCGCTGACTCGTATGTATTGCAGTTTCAGATGTGTACGTATCTTTTCTATGATCTAGTGCCGACCGCAATGAATGCAAGGAAGGCTTACTACAAGAAGCAATATATTTTGCACTTGTAAAAACAAATAATACTCAAAGTAAGTTAAAGGAAGAGCAGAAAGAAGCTGTTCGTCAAATAGTAAATGGAAGGGATGTTAAATCGTTGATATACCAACTTTTACCTTCCATGTTCGACTACATTAATTCGAGAAAAAGAAATATTTCTGCCGTGTCAACAGAAACAATTGTAATCGTGATTTCTCCGTTAAATGCACTGATGGACGACCAAATAGACAAGCTAAAAACTAACATGCAGGGGCGTAACTAAGGGGGGGTGCGGGGTGCCGCCCCCCAATGCCGTGTCCGTCGGCACAATAAATCAGTTGTCGGCAAAATAAATTGGATCAAGCCAATAGGCAATACCTGATTCGAGAGAGATTGTTTGTAAAAAAATTGTAGAAAATGCGAGATCGAAAAGATGGATATTACTAACATGCAGGGGGCTTCGGTGGCCAAGTGGTTAGCGCACTTGCCTTTCACCTCTGAGGCTGCAGGTTCGAATCTCACTAAGTACCTTCTCAGTGCGACTCGAACCTAGTCCTCATGTGAAAAGAGTAAAAAGTCAACGCTCTGCCGAAAGCCGTGGGTTTTCCCCGGGTACTCCGGTTTCCTCCCACAGGGAAAGTTGACAGGGTGGGTTAGGTAAAAAAAGGGCCCACAGTAATTGGCATACGCTGTTGTGGTGACCCTGCCCTAGTTGGCAAAGCTAAATAAATAAATAGATATGTCGACTGGCATGAAAGCTCGGCCCTTTTCCGAACATTCAGCTAAATTGGCCAAGAACTTATTACGCTAATACGCTATTTAATAGTATTATATTTTCTTGCAATTTTGTGAAGTAGGCCTATACGAAGTATTATATTTGCGACATAAGTATTTTTGAAACAAACGGCGCCCCATAAATCCAGATGTATTTCGTCAATATATATATTATATAACCGACGCAAGGAATTCAAATCAGAAGACAATATCCATTCAAAATCAAATCATTTTTGTGCGCAAATTCCCCCCGTAGCGAAGCCGATATATAGCAATTCCCTAAACTAAAGGTAGCTGTAATAATTAAAGGATACCGAGCGAAATTTCAAATAATTTCTATAGTAGTAGAGAATCCGGTCTACAGTTGGGTAAGATTTCAGTCTATACGCGATCACAAGTTAGACGACACATTTTTAACAACCCCTTTGTACAATATTCTTATAATTACCTGATTTATTGGTTAAGGAAACGGTATAAACTTGGACTTTTAAAAATAATGGTGTGCGTCGAAACTCGAAATTGATCATTATCGTTAATCAACGCGTTTCAACGTGCATTCAATTCCATATTTATTCCCTGCCCTGTCACATGATCAATACAACTTCTGATTGGCTAAGAGCCGGAAATGCTTCATTGACAATCACGTTCACATTGCGCGCACCCCCTTGTGGTGTGCGTGAATTATAGCGCTTTATAAATTCTTACTGAATTAAATTAAATTATATTGATATGATTATCATATATTATCCTTTCCAATCTGAGAAATGAAACCCCATTATTCATTATAGTAAAAAAAGTGAGTACGTAAAATCACTTTCTTAAAAATAATGAATATGTACGACTGAGTTTCAATAAAATCTAATAATTTAATTTCGCACAAGCGCACATGGAAAAATAAATTTTAATGACCTGTTATTTTGTACTCTAATATTTAAAACAAACGCTGGTATATTGGCATTGCAAAATGAAAATATCAAGTATAGGTTTCTATACTCAGTTCTTAAATTGTGGCATCATTCGGATTCAAGTGGACAGTTGAACAGGCAGGATGCAACATAATAATAACGGTATAAAATTGGACTTTTAAAAATAATGGTGTGCGTCGAAACTCGAAATTGATCGTTAAAATATTCCATTACTTTCATTCTTAGACTTCAGTAGATCACGGAAAACATTCCAAAGCTCGGATGAAACGAGGACGAGAGTGCATGAGAGTTGGCAGTCACGCGACCTTGGTTAGCTGTTCTTAATGCTTTCCCAACACTATCATGTATTCTATTTAAGTTAAAACATAGTTGAAACACTGATCAAACCTTTATTTTGTTAATCTAGAGCTTGAAATGTCCCCTGTAACAATGCGTGACTGCCAACTCTCATCAACGCTCAGCCTCGTTTGATCTGGGCTTAACTAGACTCAATCATTCTATATACATACAGATTGAATAATGTTTTTGCCGTTATCTATAAAAAGGAAAATCGAAGCTTTCCCAATTACAGTATAGAATATAAAAGTGCGACTTTATCAGGCTATAGTATGGCTGTACACGCACCATAACACACTGCGCAGTTCAATACTTGGAAATGTCGCACTATATACAAATATTCAATATATTGTAAGTACAGAAATATATATAAGTATTAAATATACAATTAAAAATACATTTCAATATACTTTTGATATAATATAAAAGTATAACGTAATTATCATTAACAGATTAACTGACAAACTACAGGATGCCAAAGTGGATTAATATTTTCCGAAAACAGGAAATGGTAAGTACCGATTTGACGAGAGGTGGAAAACACGGATATGCGGATATACGACTTGCGGACATGCCAACATACGGACACGAATTTGTTTAAGTTCAGTTATTACCTAATTCAAAAAATTCATTGAGACAATATTATTTACAGTATAGTATAATAAACTGAAATGGTTACGTGATTGGTTTTACAGTTTTCGATGTAGTTTTCAATACATTTCAATATACTATAGATACAATATAAAAGTAATTGGTAATTTAATAGATTAACTGACAAACTACAGGATGCTAAAGTAGAAAACTATATACTAATATTCCCCACTCCCCCAATTACGGCAGCCTCCTGCACAGGCCCCCATGCCTCATGGGAAGGTTACAACTTCTAGAGGCCTGCAGAATCTTGTAAACAAAATGGCGCATGCACTTTTGCTTACGTCATAGCCACTCCATTATAAGCAATTTCGAACGTTAAAGTTTTATTTGAGAACTAAATCTAGTACAAAAGTTTATCCCGAAGGCTTAAAGAGCTCAAATTAATTAATAAAAAGTCGTAAAAGGACAATTAATTATTAAAATTTCTTATTGCATATTTTCTTACCGCAGGCCCTGTTGGAATTGAGTGTGACCTACCCATGGTGCAGTAGGGTCTGCTGTGTAGGAGTCAACCATTATTGCAAAAACCATAATTATATTTTCCCACGTGTATATGTGAGTATAAAAAACGCAGCTCTTATACGTGGTTTCTAATGTAACCATATTTCTACTTCTTCACAAGTTCAGTTTAAACTGGTGGTTGTTCTATTGGATCTCGGTACTTGATACTTTTACTATGAGAAAAATGGTAACTGCAATCACGCCTAGTATAACCAATGACAGCGCAATTGGTACTACGATACTCATATGCGAATCGAAACAACGCACATCCTCGCAAAAAGCCTGATTTAGGAATAGACAATAAGGAATAGAAAATTCCAGAATTATGTACTTGTTATAGGCTATTAATGTCCTCACCGTTTAATAAATATATATATATTGAGATATTTAATATAACGACACGCATAAGAACACAAGGTTTGTGGGGTTATGGAAGTGTGGGACAACTGCTCTATATATTGTATTTTTTATCTGCGAAGAGCTGGGTGCTGAGCGGTTCCCAGGGCATATACTCGTATTGAAAAGCTGGATCTTGGGGAAAGTCGATTAGGACATATACTGATTTGCAGCTGGGTCCTAATCTGCCCAATACATATACTTTTACGGATTTAGAGCTGGGTCCTGAGTCGGCTAGAACATATACTCCATTTAGAGCTGGATCCTAGCCTGCCCTGCAAGACATATACTCTGAGCTGGGCCCTGGGAAAAAATGATCAGGGAAATATTTCTTAGAACACTGATCTGGCTCAGCACATATACTCATATGCAGAAATAGAGTGATTTTTGTAAATGGGAATTGGCTGTATGCCAGGTTGCCAAATTCCGTAAAGAAAACGTGAGGTCTATGGTAAAATTGCGACCTCATACTAGAGCAATTGCCTCAAACACTTCATCCTTTATTTATTATTTTATTAAATACATAATAACATTGATATAACAGTCTAGTGAATGTCGATAAGCGTTTAATATCCAACGAAGATAATATTTATATATAGATCTAAATATAGTTCAATGTTCCCGAGAATTCAATATCACTCCCTAGGCGGGCCCATAACATACCGTAATTACTTCCAAGTACCATCTTGTACCATCTCGTTACATCAGGGAAAAGGCTGGAGCATGGGGTGGTTGGTGGGTGACTTTTTTAAATCAGTCTTTACAGCTCGCAATCCAAGTAAGAATGATATAGGCAGATAAAGCTAACTCGGATATCTGCCCATGTTTAACTATAGTTTCATTGTTATAGTTATGAATAGGTCAAACATAGTGGTTTGGACAATAATTAATAAACGATACTGGGTGCAGTAGCCTACGGGTTTGGCAAGCAAATAATGAAAGTCTGTGATAGAGTCTTCCTTTGTTTAGACAATAGTAGCTTTCGAGTTGGCTTAACATAGACATTTTAAATCTATAATTTTTAGGTCTAGCGCATTGAGTATCGTCCATTAACAATAATTTGTACTCGTAAAAATTACCATTTATATAGTTATATTGACCGCTATATTTGTAAATTACCGGTTAACTAACGATCTACAATTCTAGATAATGTAAAAAAATCGTTAATTTGAAAATAAAACTTGTCAAAGACGACCAAAACTGTACAAGTCCCGACGAAGAACGACAGCAGCCTTTGAAAAACTTACAAGTGTATATTTTCGCAAATTCCACGAGAAACTGTACTACTATATTACTCATAATATACATGAAGAAATTATGCAGAAACAAATTGTGGTCACGATCATGCATGAACCACATCAGATATAAATGATTTACTCATTCATTGGAATGACACAACAATTTCATATGTCAAAATTTAAACCAATTCCCACGTGACACTGTTTCTCAGTGAAATTGCAGGACTCTTGATCAATCAGAATTAAGTAATTTTTTCATGTATATTGTTACTATTGGTGGTAGTATTAGTTGTAATACACCATTGTTAATTCTCATAACAACATCTCAATTTCTTCATGCAGAGCTGTTCAAAAGGGGTTTTTCCAGATATCATTCACTTGGTAGTATGTTGTATTACATGTTCTCTTCTTCGTCTGATTCATACGATTCTTCTGTCGACTGTCGGTTTGGGGAGCTTGTTATATACTATGAAAAAAAGGGCACCTAGGACCACGCCTATTATAACCAACGACAGCACAATTGGTCTCAGTACACTCATATGTTTCACATCAGGTGTTGGTATTGTCACCGCCAAGATTGCGAACAAAACGTTCTCTACGGATATTAAACTGTACAACACGAAATGGAGAGTACGTGGAATGATATAGAGTTTGGTTAACCGATTTGGCACGTGGAACAAGAACGGAAACCTGCAAACAATGGTTAGAAAAAACAGTGGTACGTCATACCACTCGCATTCATCACACCTAAAGTCTATAAACCATGAGACAACATGCACCATCAGCCAATGAACCGCCAGTGCTGTGAACACATGTTCCTTAAAGACGTATGCGAATGCTGAAATTGCAAAAAGTCTTGATAACAAACTAAACAATTGAGAAGTGAAGAATACAACCGTGGCTGCCAGTGTGAAATTTTGGCTATCTTTATCTGCTCTCGCTTTCTCAAGAGCGGTAATACTCCATGCTAAAGAAAGCAGGGAAATCACAGCTGAAAGCACGGTTAACCATGGAAAATCCCACTGATGTAACATGATGTAAATCTGTAGACACCATTGTGGAGTAGACTCTGTAAGTGTCTCTAGATAACGTAACCACGCGAGCTTGTATGCTGAGTCGTTAGACTCCGGTATCGCCACGCGGTACAGTCTGCAATCTAGACAATTGCATTCCATACAGTTGCCTCCAGACTTTCCACAAGGGGAATTATCCCGATATCTTTGCTTCCAATATTTGAACTCTTCGACATAACGCACAAATATGGACGAACATACAAACAATAGACAACAGCTTAGTCCACAAAAACCGTCATCCGCTTGAAAGAAAGCCACAATACTGACGATGAAAAGAGGAACGATAATAAAAAATAACGTCAAACCAAACCACCAATAATCGCCTTTAAGCCCATACCGTACAGCTACAACGATGTCTGTGACCAGGTCAAATATTAACAACACGAGGCCTGTGATCAGCATGAATAATTCCTTTTTTCCTGTCATGTTGACCTGTCGAATGAAAAAAATTGTCTTACTATTGGGTCTTCTCATGGACAAGTAGATGGCGACCAACTACTCAACTTTAGAAGTTAAGATTAGATATCTAGTGAAGCAGTTGATGGTCATTTTTAGAAATGTTGACATTCATAGATACATATCTCAATTCGGCTTAGAATATAGTTGGTGCTAACTGAGTGAAAAATACTTAGCAGAATGACGTGAATGACGTGGAATGACGTTTCCTGAAAACTGATTCTTCGGTGACGATAAGCACATAAGAGTCAATAACTTGACGAGTGTTAAGTGGTTAGGGGATAAACGAAGTTAAGAAATCTTGTGAATTAGTGATAAACAAAGGTTAACCGATTTTGTCTATCTGCTGGAGTCTGTGTTTGATCAACTGTCTGACAAAGGGAACAAACTTCGAAACACGAACATGCTCAGCCTAGACCTAGGCCTTTACTCGGCTGGCTTTGGCAGTTTTGGTCAATTTCGGGGCTAGCATTTGGTAAGTATCGCCCTTGGTATTTCCTTCCTCCGCCCCGCCCCCAAATCGCCTAGGTCCCAGTCTTCTCATGTGAAGAAGCGCTCATAATTGTTCGACTTCCGCCCATTGTGGGTGGCAAATGTTTAGAGCTATATTTTGTTTGATCTCTGATTCAACTAAAACAATTAGATTACTTGCTCCCGGTTTCTATTGGGTGATAGTTGATTCGGGCTTCGTCCTCATCAACTATCACCTCATAGAAATCTCGAGCTCGTAATCTAATTGTTAAATATTTATACTGTATATTTATACTGTACATATTATATATATGATGAACAATTACCCATCTGCGGTAAACATCACGGTCCGTACACCAAGATTTCATCCGGTTGCAAAATTGACACATTTTTACAAGTCAATTCGGTACACACATCAATAAAAGCACTCGCGAGCGAATCCTAAATGAATAACAAAGAAATCTTTAAAAGATTACAAGATGGCTGATCTAATACTAACAAATTTCAAAAGTTGAGTTAGGTTTGGCACATGAGTGGAGCGGCGTATGTATCAATGTCGCTCCAATGTCGCATAATGGGTCAGTCTCTGCTGAACTTACGAAGAAGATACGTCCTAAGGGTCTGAAGTTTGTTCGGCGAAAGGTATGCCTAGTTTATAATTTATTCAGAAAATTAAGTAATTTGATTATATACAAAAGCCATAAATCTTTCAAAAGCCATAAATCGCTACGATTTACTTGACTAAAACTATCGTTAGGAATTAGGAGGTATTGTTTTACTGAATCGAATGGTGGTAAGTTGCCACAAATTTTGCGGAATATAAATAAATAAATAAATGAAACTAACAGTAACAAGTCACCTTTTTCTGCTGAAAGCAATTATAGACTTCTGAAGATGGGAATTTCGTCACAATACAATATGACACTCTTGCACACGCACGAATTAATGCTAGGAGATTTCATTTTCAATGCTTCTCTTCGAAAGAGCATCAAAGCGAGCGCTGCTAGGACTAGTTGCTCGTAATTTCCGAAAACAGGAAATGGATAAGTACCGATTTGACAAGAGGTGGAAAATGCGGAGAAACCTACGACTTGCGGACACGCTAACACACGGACACGAATTTGTTAACCAGTGCAGTTATTACTTAATTCACGAAATTCATTGCGACAATATTATTTACAATATAGTATAATAATGTAGTATTGTTAGGCGATCGGTTTTACAGTTTTCGATGTAGTTTTCACTATAAAAGATTCTTATGCCTATTGTGACGACACTTGACCTCAGAACATATTCGTAGCTCACGATTATTTTCTGAACACACGATGTCCGCGTGCCTGTATGTCCGCATGCCTGTATGTCCGCGTGCCTGTATATCGGCATCCTCTCCTTCATCTCAAGTTCGGGATTTCTGGTTGGAAAGACGGTTTCCAAAGACAAAGAGTGAAACAGAAAAGGACAAGCAGCCAGACATGATAAATCTAAGGATTTTCCTAGACTATCATCTCCGTCAGATCTCATTTGTACTAGCGAGCTTAAGCAATCGACGTTCTTGTCAACACGGACGTCAGATTGCCGAGGGAGGACTGGATTAAAAACTGTGTTTGTGTCAGTTTGTGGTAATCTTCAACACATCTGACAAAACATAAAATTTTTAAAGATTCTTGCTTCCTTACACAAGCGCTATGAGGCAAAATGCCGCCAAAATTAGTTATACCAATTTTCAGGTGACGTCCATGTTGGGGAAGCCTCACATATCGATTTTGTCCATGAGAAACGTCATATGTTCGTTTCTCTGGAGACCCCCCCCCCCACCTTAGAAACGTCACACATAGTTATCGATATTTTGTTCTTATAGTACACATAAGGTAATTTTCTACTATTTTTTTCGGTCGGCTATTGGCGATGCTTCCGCGAGGAATATGTCATCTTCTGCTGACATACTCTTTTTTTATTAATATATATGTGAACTTCAAAATTTCCAACGTTTCTCAAAACAGCATTTTTTTAATGAAATATTCATAATTTTAGCGGGTATTTCTTGAAAATTGAGTGCTTTCAAATGCAAAGAAGGCGTAATAATATAAATGTATAGGTATAGAACAGGTATGGTATTACGAATATATAGACTGCTGTTTGTATCAAATTGTTTTATTTTTTATACTCTGCAAAGATAAAAACTATCGATTTTTTCCATGATGTTTACAGAGAAACGTCACAGCTGTCAACCCCCCCACCCCCAAACGAACATATGACGTTTCTCGTGGAAAAAATCGATATGTGAGGCTTCCCTTGACAAAAACGTCGCTTGCTTAAGCTCGCTAATAATAGCATCACCACTGCTAGAAGCAGCCAATGGGCTGCCAGGAAAAAGATCACGTGATGTCGAAACACGTAAGCAAAAGCAACGATTGCAGATAATCTTGATATGAGTGTAAACAGTTGCCAAATCAGAAACAAGACTCTAGCAGTTGACTTGAATTTGTCTTTACTTGGTCTTTCTTTCTCGAGTGTCGTGATACTCCAGGTTAAAGACAGGAGTGAAAATACACTGGAGACCAGGGTCCGCCAGTGTGTATGATGGGAAATACCACTGACGTAGCATGATGATGTAAACCTGTAGACACCATTGCGGAGCGCTTTCCATACTAGATTGTCTCTAAATGGCGTAGCTTTCCGAGGAAGGAAGTAAGGCGGGAATTCGGCGATTTCAGTGATTCAATGTAACAAGCAAGAAATGACAATTAATGAACAGCGCTTATACATGTCTATTCATTTATCATTTTAATAATCGATATCATGTTTACTATGATTGAGGGAACACTGATAAGCACTGATAAAACCAATAGTCATCCCAAACTACCAAAATTCGCTATTTTTCCAATATTGAACAGCCACGTAAATGTCTGAGCCGTAGTCAAATAAATATAACACCAGGCCTGCGGCCAGTTTCTGAGCAATAAAGCTTGAGAACAACTTTTACTTATGTGTGATATAGTACATGTTGTAAGGTTGGATATATATGAAGTAAAGAATGTTTCTGAGTTCCTCAAGCTTTGTATTCAGAAAATATCTGAACTCCCAACGAGAATCGAACCCGTGTCTCCCGATTGCCGGTTCGGTTGTTTTGGCACTAGACTATAGGGTTTCAGACAGCAATGCGATGTTAACTAGAGACCTGGTTCCTACCATTTATATGTGTCCTTAGTACTTAAAGGCTCATCATACTATTTTCTAATGCGATATTGTATGTATTGTATATATATTGATATTGTTAATACCATATGCAGGGTGGACAGTGTGGGGGACACGTTGTAGAAATCCACACTTTCGCGAAGTCACAAATCACGAGTCACAAACTTGTACGTTTTTAAGATAGTTTTTTACACCCAACACCAACAAGTACAAAGTTTATTATGTATCCCAACCCCAATCACTAAGATTATAGCACCTAAAAGAATCACGTGATATGTCACCTACGTCACCACCCCCTAATCTGTATAGTTTCCGACACAAAGTTATGCCTTTTGCGGCTATCATTGCTGCCAGGAGTGGGACGGAGAGCTCGAATAGAGATAATGGCACATAGTTCGCGGATACAGATATATCTATTTACTTATTTATTTATTTATTGAGTTTTGCCGCAATTGTTAATTCACACACTTACATGCATATAAATAGCTAAGTATACGTATCTTAAATTAAACACTAAGTTATATGCAATCGCTATATCGCTAATTACAACGGTCGCAAGTTGTAGTAATCCTTTATATACACGGATTTTATGCAAATATTGCATATATTCAATTTATAATCAGAATAATATCCGTTGCAATTGGAAGTCTCCGAATGACTTCAATGATATAGGGATTTCTAACTAAAACAATCGTAATTTAAACTCATTTAAACCCAAACCCAAACAGTTGGCTGTTTTTGGAAACGTGGCATTCTTTTGAAGATGACTGTAAACAAAAGTCAAAACGTAGAGAATTAAAATGTCGTTGAACCTAGTAGTCGATATTTCACTGGAAAAGTTCCGTCCAAAGTACAGTGCAATTCATAGCGCGCTATATTTAAAATAGCTTTGTTTGCGATTAGCCGAAGAATACAGCTTCGATCTCTGGTTTCGATTTATAGCGTGGTTTAGCGTGAAAGAACGCGAAAAGGCAAGAAATTTGCATACACAGCCCAACATCATAGCTGTTTTAAACTTAGCGCGCTAGGAACTAGGAAGTGCACTGTACTTCCGTCGGACGTTTCCCAGTGAAATATCGACTGGGCCCCAGTTCACTTTGCGGTATAATCCAAGATGACGGCCAATGTGAAATTTCAGGATTTAGCCCCTACATTAAAAGGATAATTTCCGCCATCTTGTAACCACGCTTTTTAGAGACTGAGCCATTGAAATGAATATAACTGGAACGCTACCTCCAACCGGAAATTTGAAGCCAAACTTGAAGGCCAGTCCCAGTCTTTTTACGCATGCGAAGAGCGCTCAATCTGTCAATCATGATACAAACACGCGTGATCTTACCTTTAGACACGCGTGTCTAGAGGTAAGATTTGGCTTCAAGAAAAAGACAGGCAGTTTATCTGAAGGTAGCGTTCCAGAAATATTCATTTCAATGGACCGAGCAAGCAGTCCATGTCTCGCTGTTAATGGGTTATGGTCAGCAGTTTGGGTTAGGGTTAGGGTCAGCGTAAATATTAATGAAAGAACTAACCGCATTGTAAACGCTTGTTGCACACTAGCCTGCGTACAGGCTGTCTGAGGGTGAGGGACAGCCTGCAACCATCACCCCATGTTTTTAAATACGCCCACTTTTAAATATTACTAAACATGTCAAAAACCAACCAATCATTACGTATTTATAATTAGAGAATTAATTAGAATTCTCCGATCGCCTCAGCTAGCCAATGGGAATTTAGCCGGCGGTTCGGCCGGCGAAAATCGAAAACATGGGGTGATGGTTGCAGGCTGTCCCTCACCCTCAGACAGCCTGTACGCAGGCTAGTTGCACACGTCCACGCACTGTTGCCTATCCAATATATGTATGATAGAAAGCCCTCGCTTTCTGACGAATGGTCTACAGGCTCGTCCTCCGTGATTGCTTCAGGAGGGGAATGAGTCTGGGAAGGATGGTGCATTTGTGTATTATCATTACTGTGATGGTTCTCTGTCGTTTCCCTATACCCATAATTAGTGTAACGATTAGGGAGAAACATGGATATTTTATAGCTCTTGATCTTTGACCTGTAAAGTACCGCAGGCTCGTTGGACGACATTGTTCCCCGAGAGGAAAGTACTTCGGAGCGACGGTACTGTTTTGCCATTCCTGTAATATCATTACTACGATAGTCGTGTATTATTTCCATTTGGCCAAAATCAGTACTTTCAGTATTGGAGAAGTTTCGTTCATTCTCGCGAGACCTTTCAGGCGGAGAACTGCAGAAATCCATACAGAGCCAACAAAATATGAAACCGCTGATGAACGACAGGACTGATCCTCCTACAATTGGCAAGAAATAGCAACTGGTGTCAATACATCCATGTGTGGTACGTCTGACATTTCAATCGTTAGAGACAATGTTACCGGTACCATGATGATGTTTTCTACAAATATTAAAATATACCCTATATGGTCATCTCAACTTTGGGATGTCTGGTTGGAAGGACGGTTTCCGAAGAGTGAAACAGGGAAGTATAGGCAGTCAAACATGATAAAAACAAGGACTTTCCTGGACTGTCAGTTCCGTCATATATTTGTATTATTAGTATCACCACTGCTAGAAGCAGCCAATGGGCTGCCAGGAAAATGATCACGTGATGTCGAAACACGTAAGCAAAAAGAACGATTGCAGATAATCTTGATATGAGTGTAAACAGTTGCCAAATCAGAAACAAGGCTCTATGAAGTGACTTGAAATCGCGTTCTTCATCAATTGCTCTTTCTTTCTCGAGTGTCGTGATACTCCAGGCTAAATACAGGAGCGACAATACACTTGAAAGCACGGTATACCATGGGAAATACCACTGACGTAACATGATGTAAACCTGTAGACATAATTGCGGAGCGCTTTCCGTAATTGTCTCTAAATAGGAGCTTTGCGAGTGAATAGATACGGCGAGAATCCGGCAACACAAGCGCTTTGATGTAACGAACACCAAGCGACAATTGAAGAACGGCCGCTATACATGTAAAGAAGTTCATCACTTGAATGATCGCTGTTATGTTTACTATGATTGAAGGAATAGCAATAAAACCAACAGCCATCCCAAACCACCAAAAATCGTTAGTTTTCCAGTATTGAACACCCACTTTAATGTCTAACCCGTAATCAAATGAAAACAACACCAGACCTACCAACAGACTCAACCGTCGTAGTAGGTTTCCCATTTTCGGAACTTCAGAGGAACTATAAAATTGTAAGTGAAGTAATACCGCCATTTGCAATTGAGCGTGCACCGTGCATTTTTTTCGAGTTGTTTTAGCATTGAAATTAACATGTAACTATGGGCGGAGCGACGTGTTACTAAGGCGGCTCAAATGTTTCTTTATCTACTATAAGCCGTGCGATTCGATTCGAATAACTCATATTGCTTCTGAACGATTCACAAACAACATTTTATATACGCAATTCTTCATAGATTACATGCTTGCCCAAGATCCGAACCACGTAAAGTTTTTCGATGAATCAGGGATCAGACAAACAAACTATCATTTTGTATAGAATTGTACTAGCAGCGAACATAAATTGGTTAGTCAAAACATAATTTGGAACGTCGAATATTTACGCTAATGGGCACTTAGTAGACAAACAAAATTGGTTTTAAAGCGACCAAACTTAGTAACATGAAATCAACAACATTAAATATACAGTAGACACCACTATTAACCGACATAATAGTCGATACTAAAGTGACAAAAAGTTTATATTTCTAATTCCAAAGCAAAAATATTTTGCACTGGCACCTTCAGGTAAAGCGAAAAGTACAAGGTGTGTATTATTTCGCACAAATAAACTGTAAACAAACCATCAAATTTATCTCTTCTGTGATCAAACTAAAGTGTTTTTCTGAGTCTTGGCGGGGGTCAAATTTACAGTCAATTTCAGCTGACTTTTCACCGTAAGATTCCGAACTTCGTTCCGAACTTCGCAAATTCGTTGCCAAGTTCAAAAGTTCATAATGAAATTCACAAACAGGTTTGTAAACAAAGCCTCTGATTGGCTATTAAATCAAACCAGCCAATCAAATGCCCAGTTTACAAACCCGTTTGTGAATTTCATTATGAACTTTTGAACTTGGCAACGAATTTGCGAAGTTCGGAACGAAGTTCGGAACATTTGAGTGAAAAGTCAGCTGAAATTGACTGTAATAAGCCGCCTTAGTAACACGTCGCTCCGCCCATAGTTACATGTTAATTTCAATGCTAAGGGACCGGTCATTATTTATGGCAGGGGTGGGGGCCGAAGAGAAAATGGTGGGGTAACTGAAAAATAATAGTTGCTTTAGGTGGGGTGGCCAAAAAATCCTTGCATGCAGAGGTGGGGTAAAAAAAAAAACCCTTTAATCACACACAATACAATATATACTACTATCAGAATTTAATATGTGATTATTCTAATTTTTTAATAAAATATTATTGCTTTCCAAAATGTTGACAAACACCCCCCTCAACCCACCCATAAAGGGTCATTTTACACACAAAATCTCCAAAGACTCCAATTACCAGACAAAATATATACTGCCTATATATAGGGGCTGTTTATATGGTGCAACTGCAAGCCATCCCCAGGGTACCCAAGCTGGCCCAGTTTTGGCAAGATCCTGCCTTTGTTGTTATTTCTTACTAAAGTTCACCTTGTGTATATATGGGTAAAGAGCGGGCCCAGCTATAGCTAAGCGAGATCCCGCCCCTTTAGCCCGAGATCTTGCTTCAGGAAAAGTGACCTTAAGTCTGTAGCCCCTAACCCCGGGCATCCAGCCTGACCCCCATATAAACATCCTCTTATTACATATCTCAAAAAGTATATGTACAGTCTATTAAATTTTCAGGATTTAATTTTTGGGCATCCACACTTGATACTGCATAACTAATATTTATATCCAGTATGTGCTTGTAAACCATGTGGACAATTCAGGTAGCAAATCATGAAATATGCCCCATCCCCCTTGTGAATCTGGAGAATCATTCCAATGGCTAGTTCACAATATGTTCATCTCTAGCCTTTGGCAACTAGCTGTTTTTCTCTACTAGCAGATCATGTGTCATGGATAAAATAAGAGAAATCTATTTACCCGTTTTACAGATTAATTTAATTGTTTATATAATCATACTTGGAATTCGGATGAACATCTTTATCTTCACACTGTATAACAGCAACTTTTTCTCATTAATTTACAGTAACTTTCTAAATTCAGATATTCTCACATGGGACAAATACTTTAGTATCGTTGTATTGTTTACAAATTAATATATTAAATTGATTTCATAAACTTCAAGAATTCCTTGGGAATTCTTAAGGAATTCCTTTAAAATTCCGTGATAATACATGTGATTGTCTATAGTAAGGAAATATTAAAGGAATTTCAGAGGAAATTTTAGAATTTAGATAGTTGCAATCATGGGTGAGCACATATTTTGTGAAACTGTTTCAAAATAAAATTGCATTTCAATTAATAAAGAAATGCAAGAATGTGAAAGAAACCAAATTATATACAGTGAAACTTTAAAGTGGGAAAGAGATAGGGTGGTGAAATACGGTTAGTGTTCTAAAATATTGAAGCATTATTATGTTTATGCATGGGACTAGCATATTGCACTATCTCGTGAAAAGGGAATATAGCGTTGAATACAAGCTATAAAAACCCATTCATATTTAAATTTTACAAGTAGACAAATTTTAAGCCTTCAGATAACTATAATTCTTTATATAGTACCTTGCTATTGTAGGGCTAACCCATAAATATAAAGGCATGACTGTTGTGTGCTTTAATTACTCCACAAGAAATATAAAGGGGCAAGGGATATTGGTAAACAAGTATTACCAATCAATCCTATTCCCTTTTAATTATAATGTCCACTGTGGTCAAAGCACCCTATGATAATTATTATTTACTCTCTAACAGCAGATGATGTTACTCATCAAGGGCAATTTTGTATCTTGATGAGTAATACGCATACAAAATACTAAACTGTTTCATTACATATTTTATGTCTGAACCTTTGACATTGCAACAAAATAGGTTTGGGTGGGGTAAAAAAATTTTCTGGCATTCCACCGGTGGGGTAGCTAGAAATTTTGTTTCGAAAAAGGTGGGGTAATGATTTTTTCCGGCTTCATTATACTTTCTCTTCGGCCCCCACCCCTGCCATAAATAATGACCGGTCCCTAAAACAACTCGAAAAAAATGCACGGTGCACGCTCAATTGCAAATGGCGGTAACTATATACAGCCATTTGTAAACTGTTGTTGCCTCTTTTCCCATACAGGCGTAAAAATCTCACAGCTTGTCAACAAGATGTGTTTGCACTGCTTTTTCCCAGTTGTTGACAAGTCTGGAACAAGTTGTTATCATCTTGTAACAAGGTTGACGATGCCAACAGACTCGCAACAAGTTGTTCCAACTAGTGATGGGCGATACTAGCTTTTTTGGTTTCGATACGATACCAGTCCGATACCATGAATTTTGGTCGATACCGATACCAAAATCGATACCGATACTCAATTTTTTCCATTTATTAAAATAACTTTTAAAACACGAACATTAATGTTTAAAACAAGTCAAAGAATACTCTAACTGGAGTACCTGCCAATTAATCGAACATAACATTTGCAATTATGATTTTAAATCAAAACAACAATGTTTTCCTCAAATATATTGCTAATTAGCTACATGTTTTTGTTTAAGAACAGCATCATGTCAACATTTTTTGCCTTCAGGGGCCTTCAGTCTGTTGCCTTCATGAAGCATTAAGTGATTGGTCAGGAATACTGACCAAAAACATCGCAGGCTCAAGTGGTATCGATTTACCGATACTTTTTGCGAGTATCGAAAGTATCGATACTTTTGTAAGTATCGATGATTTCGATACTTTTTCGATAGTATCGCCCATCACTAGTTCCAACAAGTCTGATATCGTCTGCACGTAACAAGTTGTTAACAACTTGATGACAACAAGCTCGTATAGCAACATGTTACGAACAGCCTGGATTAGTCTTGTTGTAACAAATTGTAGCCGAAGTCTGTTACCGTCATCAACCTTGTAACAAGGTGATAACAACTTGTTTCAGACTTGTCACAACAACTGGGAACAAACAGTGCGAACACATCCTGATATCGGCTTCACAATAACCTTGTTACAGCTGTTTGTTCAATTTTTTTCCCATTTATTTTTCATTTTCGTGTTTAAACTTAAATACTGTTGTTGCTACACGATAGACAAATGGTAAGAATTATTTAAAAAAACATTTTAAAATATATCCTTTCCACGTCGTCAAACCGCGCCGTATATAATGTAAACAGACTGGATTGTAGCTAGCTTAGTTTAAGCTTATAAACCACAGTTAATCCAGGACTATAATGCTTTTAAAGCGGCATAAGCATAAAATATGTTTTCGTAACAGCTTTTATATATAAGTCCTGGCAATTTCGATCCTTTTTTAATTTTCTCAGTCAGTTGCCTGGAGATTGCCTTGCTGCATAAAACACAGCTACAGGCATTCCAATGTTGCTATAATAAACGTTTCATGCTTTGCCCAGCTTCGAGAAACAAGGCTGGCAAATAATGCTTCAGCAATAATTGTTCCCTTATTTGCCTTGTACCTCAGACGTGTCTACGCTGGGTCATAAAATAATTGTATTATAGGCAAGCTGACTTGCCATTTACTTGCCATTCCTGCCGCCTCGATCCGAACTCTGTATAGACCGTCCCATCCAAGACATACAGCGCTCTCTAGTTGCTATACTATATATATAAAACGCAATTTGCGTGAGACTTACCAAAATCAGTATACACTTCACATAACGAAACATTCAGTCGCGGTATATCAAGACGACCAAAAGACAAAATTATTTTCTAAACTTTGTTTATACGACCACAGTTTCGTTTTAAAAACAACGACGTGGTCAATTTTCCAGGAATAAAGCTTTGCATATGCAGTTTTAGCCTACGTACCTAGTTTTAGCCTACGAGATCATGGGCATGATCATGGCATGATTGGTTGAAAATGAAAAATATGATAATTTATGCTGCTAACATCGCAAATGTATAATTTGAGGTTTATTCAAGTAGTAAGTTGTCGAGCAATGAATGTTGAGACAACTCGCTTGTCAACTCTCATGCAACTCTTGTCCTCGTTTGATCAAGCAATGAAAGTTGAGAAAACTCTCGTGTAAACTCTCGCTTGTCAACTCTCATGTAACTCTTGTTCTCCTTTGATCAAGTAATGAAAGTTGAGAAAACTCTTATGTAAACTCTCGCTTGTCAACTCTCATGCAACTCTTGTTCTCGTTTGATCAAGCGACGAAAGTTGAGGAAACTTGTCCAACAAGTTGATCTAACAAGTGTGATATCGTCTACACGTATAACACGTTGTTCACAAGTTGATGACAACATCGTAGCAACTTGTTACGAACAGCCTGTATTAGTCTTGTAATTGGAACAACTCGTAGCAAGTCTGATACCGTCATCAACCTTGTAACAAGGTAATAACAACTTGTTCCAGACTTGTCACAACAACTGGGAACAAGCAGTGCAAACACATCCTGATATCGGCTTGACAACAACCTTAATTATTACAACTTGTTTGCAGATCTGTTACAACTTGCGCGTGTTTACGTGTGTATTATACAAGAGGGGTGATCCTTTGTCCATTTCTTGCTTCTTTGTGCTTTCTGTACATGGACAAGAGGTTTGTTGAAAATTTGGAGGATGTATTTGGGTATAGAACACCCTAAAGCATAGAAAAATACATCCTCTGTATACACCGTACGAATTTTTGTGTTTATGTATACTTCAAACACTCATTAATAATTCATAAGCTTATTGGCAAATCATGTCAACCATAATATGTCACGTGCAGTGGCTATAAACCTGATAAAACACTCCTAATTAGTATTCTTTATATAAAGAATACTAATAAGGCAGTATCTATTGTATTCGTGTCCTCATTAGTATTCTTTATATAAAGAATACTAATAAGGCAGTATATCTATTGAATTTGTAGTCGTGTGTTTGAAGCCGTTTAATAAACTCGCAGGTCGTGTTTTATTAGGTCTAAAGCCACTCGCGCTGCGCGCTCGTGACTTTAAACCTAATAAAACACTCCTGCTCGTTTATTAAACAGTACATAACTCACAAGGCGTATAAAAAATCCGGGACCGGTTGTATAAAACTCTTAATCACTTTTTTAATAATTTTCTGATTTCTATCCTTAGAAAATTATTTTTGCCTTATTTAAAAGCTTGTTCTTTTCTCTTTCGAGCAAGAGGTCACTTGTGTCTTGAGTGCAAGCAATAACGGCACAAGCAAAAATTTAGTGGAACGCATCATTTTTATTGATGCCGTTTTATACTTGTACAATTTTACCATCATATTATTTCATAGTCGAATTTCATTTTAACTTTTTCAATTTTTAAAATTTATTTTTCATTTTCTTGTTTAAACTTTAATACTGTACCTGTTGTTGTTATAACACGAGAAAAAATGGTAAGAATGATTTCAAAACATTTTAAACTCATAAGCGCCATGCATGCATGCCGTCGAATCGCGCCGTAATGTAAACAGAAGAAATTCATCATATCTGAGATCATATATATATATATATATATATATATATATATATATATATATATATATATATATATATATATATATATATATATATATATATATATATATATATATATATATATATATATATATATATATATATATATATATATATATGTATTCAAACGCGAATTTCGAAAAGATTAACAAAGCAAAACGTTTATATTTACATTCATTTTAAAGCTTGATCATTCAGCTTTTCAACAGTAAGCTACTTTTGAAATTTGATCAACTGGTTTGGGAAAAATATTTTCTTTATGGTGACTGGGACTGGAAAATAAAAAATTTGAAATGCAATTATATACTAAATCGATACTAACTCACTTTGCCAACTAAACGAAAAAATTGAAGCATTTTGGCAATGACTGATCAAAACTAAGAAACTAATACACAGCATGTGCACTATTTGTTGCTCATTTACTAATTTTAAAGGCATTACAGTCCCGGTTTGATCGTGGTTTAATTGAACCAGGCTTGTTACAATTCAGTCTTCGGTCTAAAAGTTATTCCCGAGGTTTAACGCTATAAGCATAAAATTTGTTTTCATAGCAGCTCCTATATATAAGTCTTAGCAATTTCGATCCTGTATTAATTTCTCAATCAGTTGCCTGCATGGAGATTGCCTTGCTGCATAAAACACAGGCATGCATTCCAATGTTGCTAACAAACGTTTCATGCTTTGCCCAGCTTCGAGAAACAAGGCTACCAAATAATGCTTCAGCAACAATTGTTTCGGCTTATCTGCCTTGTACCTCAAACGTGTCTACGCTGGGTCATAAAATAATTGTATTATAGGCAAGCGGACTTGCCATTTATACTTGCCATTCCTGCCGCCTCCAAGCTCTGTTTATATAAATCGTCCCATCCAAGACATACAGCGCCCTCTAGTTGCTGTACTATATAAAACGCAATTTGTGTGAGACTTACCAAAATCAGTATACACTTCACATAACGAAAAATTCAGTCGCGGTATATCAAGACGACCAAAAGACAAAATTATTTTCTAAACTTTGTTTATACGACCACAGTTTCGTTTTAAAAACAACGACGTGTGCAATTTTCCAGGAATAAAGCTTTGTATGCAGTTTTAGCCTACGTATATATATATGTCTGTCATTATATTTACTTAGAGAACGACATGCATGCATGCATGCATGATTGGTTGAAAATGAAAAATATGATAACTTATGCTGCTAACATCGCAAATGTATAACATTTGAGGTTTATGTTTGTTTGAGTTGCATTTAAGCCAGCTGGATTAATTCTGTGCACATTTATAGTTATGACTATTTATTCGAAAAACGCACGCTGCAGCATCTTTCTTCATGTAAACCCTCGCTTGCCAACTCTCATGCAACTCTTGTTCTCGTTTGATCAAGCAATGAAAGTTGAGAAAACTCTCATGTAAACTCTCGCCATGTCAACTCTCATGCAACTCTTGTTCTCGTTTGATCAAACAATGAAAGTTGAGAAAACTCTCATGTAAACTCTCGCTTGTCAACTCTCGTGCAACTCTTGTTCTGGTTTGATCAAGCAATGAAACTCATTTTCAAAGCTGAAGTCATTGAAATGTCTCGCTATGTAAAATATCTATTTACCGCATTGCACGACAAATGCAAATAACAAAGTTCAAATAGCACAAATAAATAAAATATCAAATTGTATCAAATATCAAATTGCAGTAATAAAGTGAAACTGTGCTCATGTGATGAACAGTAAAAATGTGCAGTGATCACATTTGATGTGAGAAATTCTTAATCAGAGGCGGACACTTCGCAAAATATTGGGGGGGGGGGGCGAATAAGTTGCCAACATATGACCGTCTTTTGTAACTAGAATTCCTAGTTCTTTTAATTAAACGTTTTTGCCTTAAATTTGATGCAATATATAGAGCTTGATTGATAGCCTATACGAATGTTTTCATGGTTGAAAAATTATTGTTGCAGCACACAATTATTCAGCCAGCATTCAGCATTATTGGGAGGATGTTGCCCCCTCCCCCCTGGCCTTCCCTAGTGTCCGCCGCTGTTCTCAATTGATAGAGCCTACAAGATTAATTTATATGCATCACTTTTCTAATTTTTTTTTTCTATAATGTCATTAATGGGATAATCAATACTTGAGTGAAATACATTGCTTTAATTAGCCTTTCTCACGCCGCCATTTTTGGGGTACTTTTTTGCCAATCCTGCTAGCGTAACACCACACGTAACGGCGACATTTTATAATTTTGTGGGTGTATGATGGTAAATATACTCTGTAAATAGCAACCTCGTACCCAGGCTCTTTCCACTACGCTCCTCGCTGGTGGGAAAGACCCTGGTCCAGGCTGGTCACGTGTCTCCCAGATTTTGGGAGATAACAAAATTTTTACATAAGGGTGGGGGGCTAAGTTTGTTTTACCGATCTAGTTGCCGATATCAATTCGATAAAGTTCAGAGTGTGTGTATTTTAACAAATGCATGTAATTTTAATGAATAGCAAGAGCTTGTGATGCAAAATCAATGGGTGAGATGTCTATGTATATGTATTCTTTGTGGATTGCATTTGCGACGTCGCTACGCAAGATCTATACATACTGGAGTCTTTCTGTTTCATATTGGGCAAAACCGCAAAGAAGTACTACACATTTGTAATACTGTATATTCAAGGACAAGCCAAGAACATTTGCCTAGCAGCCAACAACGAGTCTGTTGTAAATTGCCATAAACTGTAATCATAAGTGGAACGGCTCGATAACACGACACATGCATATAGAAATAACAGTAAGAAAATATAATTATATAGTGTGCACATGAACATCGATAGTATGACTATGGAGTTTTAGTACATATTCATTTCCTCGTGTTTCAATAAGACAGTACTCAGGGGATTATATATATTATAATATTTCGAAATGTTACTTCTAATTCTTCATGCACACATATTTTTAATAGAGAGTTTCAGCTTCGCGTTCATACGTCAAACGACGAACGGCGGGCAAAGGAAAAAATAAGCCATATAAGGCAATAGAGAGTAAATGAACCCTGCTATTTTAAAACTGTAATGTATAACGATTCTTTTGATATAAGAAAGAAAATATGAAGCGAAGAAGTTTAATCGAAAATGCTGCAAATTTGACTCCGCCGTTTAACTCCTCATGTAAACAAACATCCAGACCAGGTGTGTGTCAGAAAAATTCCGTTAATTTGAATTTGACTGTGCGTATTACCTCGAACTTTACAACTCTAAACCTAAGACCTTTAAACTCTAAGCGCACAAAGCTTAATAGGAGCACAAGTTTCAAGCTTAGTAGTTGAATATTGCAGCTATTTGCAAATGAATTGTTTTAGTAAGGAGATATTTAACATGTCTCTAAGAAATGGGCTCCATATATGATTTCTAAACGGATTAAATGATGCTCCCATTATGCTTTGCACGCTTAGAGTTTAAGGTCAAAGCCAAGCCAAGGACAACCTTTTTGAATTAGCTGTGTACATCAACTAGCGGTTAAAAGTTAAAAGCTTGTTCGAAAACTGGACCCTGTAGCAGTACAGTTGGTCAGAGCGTTGCTGGAATTTCTACTGATAATGTTCTGTCACGAACGAGGTCACGAACTGAGTCGTGAAATTTGAATATTGTAATTCGTATTTAAACAACAAATTGCGACCACGAACAAATGTGTTTTGAACACTTCACAGCTATGCCTATGGGCTTTCACATTTGTTTATGGCCATGCCCCCTTAAAAAGCTAAAATTATTTATATCTTCCAACCAAAATAATGAACAGGCTAGAAGCATGCATGTCATATTCGCCAACGGGTGAAAATTTATGAACTTTCCAGTCCCGTCGATAGCACCATGGTGGGTCACTAATCTCTAGAAATATTAAACTAGTTTGTTCTTGGTTCCAGGGTTCCTTGAGGAACAGAGGATTAGTCTGCTTGGCTTCTCGGCTTGCCGTGAAGGTTTCCTGTTGAGGAGACAGTCCGTCGCCGTCACAATTCTGCTTGTGGGAAAAAAGATTGCCTCATGTCGTGACACGCAAGTGTCTTCAGAGATGGGAAACGGTGTGCAACATTCCTCGGCGCAAAACTTAAAGTTTTGAAATTGAAACCTTTCTCGAAATATTGTTAATTACATGTATGGCTTTTTCAAATTGCAAAATATAAATTACGACATTAAAAAATTGGCTTCTCATTCTTACTTCCAACTGATTGAATATTTTCCAATTTTTATTGTTTTCTGCTCAATATTCTATATCACGACTGTATCAGACTTGTTAGAACGACCTTGTAACATTCTTGTTATATCATGACTGTATCAGACTTGTTAGAACGACCTTGTAACATTCTTGTTATATCATGACTGTATCAGACTTGTTAGAAAAACCTTGTAACATTCTTGTTATATCATGACTGTATCAGACTTGTTAGAACAACCTTGTAACATTCTTGTTATATCATGACTGTATCAGACTTGTTAGAACAACCTTGTAACATTCTTGTTATATCATGACTGTATCAGACTTGTTAGAACAACCTTGTAACATTCTTAATATATCATGATTGTATCAGACTTGTTAGAACAACCTTGTAACAAGTCTGATAATGCTAACAAGCTTGTTACAAATTGTTCACAGCTTGTAACAAGCTTGTTGATATTACCAGACTTGTAGCAAGGTTGTTGTATCGTCAACGTTGTAACATTCTTGCTATATCGTGACTATCTCAGACTTGTTGAAACAACTTTGTAGCAAGTATGATAATGCCATCAAGCTTGTTACAAGTTGTTAACAACTTGTAACAAGCTTGTTGATATTATCAGACTTGTAGCAAGATTGTTCCAACAAGTCCGATACAGTCATGATATAACAATATTGTTACAAACTTGTGTGTTGTCAACCTTGTAGCATTATTGTTATAGCATGACTGTATCGAGCTTGTTAGAGCAACCTTGTAACAAGCCTGATAAGGCCATCGATCTTGTTAGAAATCGTTACCAGCTGGTATAACAAGCTTGTTGATACGACACAAGGTTGTAACAAGGTTGTATGTCATGACTGTATCGGACTTGTTGGCACAACCTTTCTACAAGTCTGATAATATCAAAAAGCTTGTTACAAGCTATTAACAACTTGTAACATGCTTGATGGCATTCATTCGTAATCAAAACGTTTTACGAAACAAATAGCTTGCAGCAGACTCGCGACGTTGCTTTTGGTTGATTAACTTTGCATAATTTATTATTTTCAATTCCCACCGGTGGAAGAATGTGATTTCGACCGGCAATTTTTATTTGACGAGTATGTGGCCATTTTGTCATCGTTACGATTTAAAAAAGCCGATATGATAGAAAAGTTCAATAACAGCTCTTTCGTCCTATGCTAAAATTGAATTGTACATGTTTAGCCAATTTTATGATGCACGACAGACAGCCTGTTGAATTTCCATTGGGGTTTTTTAGCCACCCTGCATGTACATGTATATATGGCAGTGGTCATGATTCCATGGTATATGGATGAATAACATAGGGCGCTTTCCATTAACACGGACAAACCGGTCAAATTGTTGAATGAAATACGAAACATTTGGGCTTCAGACCTATCTGAGCGGAAAATTTAGATAACATTAGAATGAGGTCCAATTTTCGTTAGATATCTGAGAAACATAGGCCAGATGTTTCCATTGATACAGAGAAAAGAATTTGGGTCTGACCGGGGAGGCCATATATATTGAGGGCGTAACAAACAAAATATTCTATTCGTAACTCAAACAAAATAGTAAATGGCTTGTTATATCACGATTGATCACCAAAGGCAATGTGCCATACATCACAGATACAGAGTTCTTTAAAAATTAAAAGAACTGTTAAACGCCATGGTTTTTAAGAAGGGTTCCTGTATGTAGTAATCAATCCGTATACTTTACAGTCTTTACTACAGATTAACATAAGAGTAAAATTATTCATGTTACAGGGCTGTAGGACTAGCCCAAAAAGATCATACTGTAGGAACAAAGGAATGTTTTATTCACATACCTATATCACATTGCAAATTGAAGTCCAATGCTCTTAAATTCCACTCATCTTGGCGCTTGGTGGTCAAAACCTTCATTATATTCTCGGTCCCAATCTTTCGGCCAAATACTTGCAAAGTTTTCCCCAAAGCTTGCATCGGTGAAGCACTAGAACTCCAAACTTTCTGGCCAAATCAAAGCATGTCTACAGTACACGGTGTACCAAGGAACCTGCAAGCACTATAATTTGCATAATTGTGCTGCTTACACTAGCATTTCAATGTCTGTGCTACTTATTTTGCTCCTGGGATTTGAAAAAAACATTCTAATTAACAGCGTTGATAGAAATTAGAATAACACAAAGTTATTTGTAATGCAGAAAACTAATTATCAGTTCGACTGCGAATGGTCAACTATTGTGTGTATTTCGAAGGTTTGCAGGTTTTTTTATACACTCTGTATACACGCGTTGTCTCAAAAAAATGGCCTTTACTTAGAAATCCACCTTATTGTTATAATTTGAATGTCTGAGTTCTTAACTTGATCCTTTCAAGTTATTTCAAAGTTTTTGGTATTGTTCAACAATGTTATGAATGTGATTATTGTGTTGATTCATTTAATTAAAGCAGCGCGTAAAACTGTAAAGACTCTTTGCTCTGTACTGTAGTCAGTTGAGCCATTTTTAATCGAACTGACGGGACTATTGGACTAATTTCTAAGTCGTTTTAAGCTTCCAATTAGAATTATCATGTACTATTTATGCAGTTTTAACATGCTCGTGCGATTACAATTCATTCTAAATTAAACTCCCAGAGCAAGAACTAGGTAATGAAGTTTGGGCGTTTTACAACAAAAGGATGATTTCTAAAGGTTACTTTTTTGAAAAACCCAAAACTATTGAAATATAACGTATTGTTAGAATTTGAATGCCTTAGCACTAAGTTGAATGCAAAGATGAGTAAAATATTGACAGGGTGCATATATTATAAATATTGACTTTTAGAATTAAGATATCTTTGTAAAGCGCACGACTTTCTGCTCTTGGCCTTGGGAATTTAAAGCATCTTCTTAAACAGTTTCTTTATGCATAAAATTTACTTAATAATAATAATAATAATAATAATGGTTTATTAGCATTCCACACAAGTGGCTCTTCGATCTATGCTAAATACAAAAGGAGAACGAAATTACAATACAATACTACATGCACCTATGCCTATTATGGTAAAAATAATTATATATACAATATATATTCATAATATGAATATAGTGAAGTTAGGTTTATTCGTCATTGTCTGCCTTGGCCAATGTCATGAAATGATTTTTGCACAAAGAATGAAATTCACTAGCCGTATTACAAGTCAGTCCTAATTTCAGCTGGAAGGCTATTAAATATTTTCGATGCTGTATGCTGAAATGTCCCATTAACGTCATTAACAAGCGGGTTTACTAGTTTGAGTTCACTAGACGATCTGAGAGATCTTCCAGGATTGTAAACTTCCAAACGAAGATACGAAGGCCATATATAGTGCTTTAATTAAATATTAGTTTAGTCATGTGAAACTCCCTGCGATATTTGACTGGGAGCCAGCCCAATTTAAGTACGTCAGAAATGTTCGCATAATGATTCATCACAAAGCCTGCAGCTGCAAACTGTACTCGTTGTAGGCGTTTGATAAGGTATGCCGGAGCTGGGTGACATACCACGTCGTTGTAATCAAGAACTGACAGGACTAATGATTCAGCCAATTGCTTTCTAATATGAAAAGGGGTGAAATTCTTGAGCTTTTTATGGCAGACATGGTGCCATAACACTTAGATATTTTTCGAATAATGTCACAGTTCCATTTAAGATTCCTGTGTAACTTGGTTCCTAGTAATTTGGTTGTTGTGTTGCACTTATGACTTATGTCAAGCTTTTATGTACTTGTGGGTCAAATTTTTGAAAAAGAATAAAAGTCTTCAGCAGAGTGCTTTATCAGGAGGCATTCATTCAAATTCTAACAATACGTTATTCCAATAGTTTGGTTTTTTGGGACACCCTGTGTGCACGAGATTTGCATGTTAATTTGCATATGTTGAAGGAAATGCAGTGAGAGTTGTACGTATTGATGTGAGATTACTATTGTTTGGCAACGAACTCGTGAAAGTTCTGCAGACAAAAGGCAACAATAGATACCATATGTATCTAACATAAGGCTACGAGAACACAAATCTGCTTCCGTATTGGTTCATATCAGACCATGGTTCTCTATTCCCTTTATCTGAAGCCTGGTTTCCATAGGGTCGTAAAAATAGAGTGACGATCTTTCTCAACGGCCAGTTTATAATAGTTTATGCCTGTAAAGTACATATAAATCATAAGTATTCTCTAGTTATAATCACTCCGCGTATTTTCAAGTTCTCAAATGTTGTATTTCGGCCGATTGACTCAACTTTTTACGATTGTTACGACCATATGGAAACCAGACATATCCTGCAAAGATGAACCCGACATTTTAAGGCTATCGAAAAACTATAGAATATTTCCATGTTTTACAGAGAGACGTCACAGCTGCTAACCCCTCACCCCCCTCCCCCCCCCGAAAAAAACCGAACTTATGACGTTTCTCGTGGACAAAATCGATATGCGAGGCTTCCCTAAACAGATAATCCCTAGACAAAAACAGATAATTTCTATTATGTCTGCATCGAGTCCGGTAGCACAAGCCTTCTTGGCTAAATTTCTGCGACTTAAATTCAATAGGATTTTTGAACCTGAATTTTTGAACCTGAATTTTTGAACCATAATTAAAACGCAATTAAAGAATATTTAAGAATTTTTTATGCTACGAAACACACCCTCAAAACTCGTTCAAATTTTCCATTAAATGCACTATCTGTGAAACAGGCCTCGAATTTCCCTGAAATCAATCGACGGCAATGACGTTAAAAATTGCCGTAGAACGTAACCAGCTGTCTGCGGCAATTTTGGCAATTTCCACGGCATTTTTCAAATTACTGTAATAAAACTTTAATTTTATCGTTACTTTGGATTTTGGACAAGCTAGAAACATGTCTACGTATTTCTTTAGTGTTTTTTTTTTCGAAGCTTATAGTGATTTACGCATGATTTGATCAACATCTGAATAGTATAAAAATTGCTCTATACGGCAAAAAATTGCCGTCGTTGCCGCAATGATTCACGGCATTTTGTTCTCCCTCTACGGCAATTGCCGCGATAAAATTCTAGCCCTGCTGTGAAATAGCCTAATGCTAATTTTTTTATTTTATAAACTTCACACAATCAACAAAACGATTTAAGGCACAGACAACAGGACTGAGGAGTTTAAAATTAAGTCCTACTTAATTTTAAAGATTTTATCCATTTTAATTAACTAAAGCATTATTGATAATAGCGAACGAACGAAAGATGAGCTAAATCTAGTGCGCGGTCGCGACAAAAAGACAGCTTTTTCTTTTGGATTTATTGCCGGTTTAACAACTTGTAACAAGTTTGATGGCATTTTTAGACTTGTTACATGGTTGTTCTAACAAGTCTGATAGATATAATAAACTAAATAGTCTGATACAGTCATGATCGATATAACAAGAATGTTACAAGGTTGACGACACAAGGTTGTAACAATATTACTGTATCGAACTTGTTGGAACAACCTTGCAACAAGTCTGATAATATCAACAAGCTTGTTACAACTATTAACAAACTTGTTCCATACCTGTTGACAATTTGGGACAAGCAGTGCGAACACAACTTGTTGGCAGGCTATCCACAAGATGCAAGATTTTTGCGTACGTATACAAATAGTAGTTCCCAAACCGCCGATAACATCGCAATACACTGATTCATTAAAGATATTATTATTTGCTATTCAAAAATCATATTCTCGATACAAATTTGATGAGAAAAATACACACTAGCTAACCTAAGACACGCGACGATACACAGAGATTACAAGATCTAAATACAAAAACCAGAAATATCCAAAAATGTCACATATCCTAATATCCAACTCCACACGATTACAACAACGCCTAAATACTTCGCAATGTTTCTAGTGGAGTATTACATGGAGTAAAAAATTACACTATCAAAACTAATTCAGTTAATTTAGCAGTCCGTCGTAGCGACCACTGCGTTGGAATTACTCTAGGGTTATTTCGCCTAGGGTTTTTTTTTCGTATCGTTACACAGTTACATGGAAGGGGGATCCGGGAATGTGTTTCTCTCCCCACAACACCTTCAGAACGTATTCGCCTGGTTCTTCGAGGGTGTAATTGACGGCGTAGACTTTCCCTCCGGTGTGTTTAATCTTGATTTCTTTCGCTGGAATCGCCGGTCCCTCTACTCCGACCATTAAAGATCCGCGTCCGGCATCGCTGCAGTTCACCGTAAAGGCGTTCGGTTCTCCGATAACAGCTCGATGTAGCCCCGTTCCAACCGGCTTGCACTTTTCGGCGAAAGCCGAAGCGCCGTCTCCCTTAATTGTGACATTGTAAGGGCTTTTCGGGATGTTTTGGTCGGCGAATTTGATGGTGATCTTATAATCACCGGCGATAAGAGGATGGTAGGTAACTCGGTAGGTACCATCCGGGTTTTCCGTACAGTTCATTCGTACTTTAGCCGGGCCGTCAACCGACAGCGACAAGGCTCCCGTTCCCGCTCGTAAAGCATCCACGGTGAAGTACGTTTCCTGACCCGCAACTCCGCCTTCCAATCCAGGACCATAAGCCTTTACTTTCCCTGGAAAACTTTCACCGCCACCGACTTTAACCTTGAATGGAGAGCCGGGAATGTGGATTCCATCGAATCGAACACTTATGAGATGGTCACCGACCTCTTTCGGAACGAACCGGATCGCGTAGCTGCCGTTACCGCGGTCGGAAACAGTCGCCGGACTTTCGGAACCGGAGGGCGCGAGGACGGACGCGGTGACCTCTCCGACAGGTCCGTTGGTTTGCACCGAAAACGAAGCCGGTTGTCCGACAGCGATTCCACCTTCGACCATGTCCGACACGCTCAGATCTCGGAATCGTTCGTCTTCTTCCGCCGTTACGAACACCTTAAACGGAGCTCCCGGAATGTTCTCGTCGGCGAATCGGACGTGGACGGTGTATTCGCCTGGCTCCGTCGGCACGTAGGTGATACTGCACGATCCATCGCCATTATCTTTGCAATCGATTTCCGTCTTCGCTGGTCCTTCAATCGCGACCGCTAAGCCTCCAGGGCCGGCGTCACGCGTCCAAACCGTGAAGTTCGCTGGTTGGTTGACGACACCTCGCTCTAATCCAGGCCCCGCAGCGGAACATTTCCCTGCGCCACCCCATTTTGGTGCATCCACTTTGACGCGGAATGGACTTCCTGGGATGTCTCGGCCACGATTCTTCACAAATACCTGAAGAAAGGAAAATTTTGTGCGTGATTAATTTTGATGTGATGTGATCTGTTCATCTTGTACACACGCAAAAATCTCACATCTTGTAACAAGTTTGTCAACAAGCCGTCGCCAAGTTGTCTTCGCACTGCTTGTCACAAGTCGTCAACAAGTTTGGAAGAAGCTGTTAACAATTTGTAACAACCTTGTTCATATTATCAGGCTTGTTACAAGGTTGTTCCAACAAGTCCGATACAGTTATGATATAGCTGTATTGTTACAACCTTGTGTCGTCAACTAACATTCTTGTTTATCAAGACTGTATCAGACTTGTTAGAACAACCTTGTGACAAGTCTGATATTAATATCAACAAGGTTGTTACAAATTGTTAACAGCTTGTTCCAAACTTGTTATCTGTTCACAAGCTGTCAACAAGTTGTCTTCGCACTGCTTGTTCCCAGTTGTTGAGTTCAACAACCTTGTAGCAAGAACTTGTCAACAAAGCTGGGAACAAGCAGTGCGAACACATCCTGTTGACAAGTTGTTGAAACAGCATTGCTACAAGTCTGCTGCAAGTTTGTTACAACTTATGCGTTTTAACGTGTGTAGTTTACGAAAGCATGCCATGTATAGATTCTATTTCGTGTTTCTGTAAACTAGACATGTCAGTTATGCCATAGCAATAGAATACTTGCATGTTAGGCTAATTTTTGATCTAGGCAAAAAAAGTAAATTCCCGTAATGAACTTATTAAAATTAGTAAAACTGCAAAATTTGGTTACGACATGTTGTAAAATACGGAAAATATAGCCTTGCGAAGTTTGCATATTTTGTATATGTTTGTGTTACGTGCGGAAATTGTTACCATTTTTGAGCCGAAATTGGTAATTGGTAACAATTTTAGCCTGCGTGCAGGCCCAAGGGAACTGATAGTGGGCCTGCAACCATCGCCCGGTATTTTGAAATACGCCCCTTTTCATAACACGCCCCATTCGCGCGTCAATTGTCAAAAAAGAACCAATGACAGCACCCAAATATTAACAAACAAACTCGCATTAAAATGTTGCGGGGATTTCTCTGCTTATTCAGAACACTAATAAACAATGTGTAAATGGCTGCGTTTTAACTCCAAAAAAGCAAGCAACGCAGTCAGTAATTGCCAAATTTGCAAGTGCTCATTTTCAACTAAAATCGGAACAGGCAAATTAGGACGAATTTCAACAGAAAACCAGCCTCAAACTTCAAATCATGAGGGAAGTCGTGCGCCCACATAAGGATTTATATTATGTGTGCTTCGCTATCGCCATTGGCATTGTTATACATAAATTGTCTCACTTATCAGATCGTGTGTGCAATTCTTGTTGGCGGCGGAAAGTACGAAATTTATTTCAGTTATTTCATTTGGTAAAGAACTCTACAAAAGAAGAGAGCGTTCCGAGTCCGGATCGTTTCGTTTCGAACGGCAATTTAATACCGCCTTCTGTTTCGCTCTCTCAGCGAAGCCTTGTATATCGCAAAGTGTTTCGAATAGGCTTACAGTCCTTACATGCAACTGCATCTCAACATCAACCAAAAGATAATTTTCTTGAGGAAGTGAGAACACATAACGTATCAACTGAAGTCTGTTTGAAATTAATGAAACTCAAGTAAAGGTTACTATAGTTTACCCCAGTCGTAATTTGCTATTCCAACACCTCACGACAAGCAATCCCCATTGGCATAACGGCAAAAACATGTCTTCCTTCAAGTAAACAATAAACAGTCTGTTCTTGTTCCATTTGTAATCGAAAAGTAATCAATTTTCAAATTTTAAGCTTATCGAGAGCCTTTGTCTATGCCTTTGTGATGAATCACTGTTCCCTTGGGCCTGCACGCTAGGTTAATTAATTACCGATCGCCTCAGCTAGCCAATGGGAATTTAGCCGGCGGTTCGGCCGGCGAAAATCGAAAACATGGGGTGATGGTTGCAGGCCCACTATCAGTTCCCTTGGGCCTGCACGCAGGCTATAACAATTTCCGCACGTAATGCAAACATATAAAAAAGTTTGCAAACTTTGCAATTTTACCAAATTTCATTATGTTCTTTTTAGCTGTTATGTTCGATTCCCTTCTCTTTACTTAGATTAAAATTTAGTCTAACATTCAAGTTGTCCATTTCTAATCGAGTGTGAACAAACGTTTAATTAATTTTGTCGATTCCCTCAAGGCAGTGGCGAAGCCAGACAATTTGATCATGCAATGCAAATATTTCCGTGTTCATAGACCTTGAAAACAATCAATTTCTAAAGAAATGAATAATGATAACATGATTTAAAAAACGTATTAATAATTCATGAGGAAAATACAAAAGAAATTAATGTTTAATTAATCAATGTTTGTAAATCGGACAAAGATTTGTCCTGATTTACATAAACTTCAGCTTTGATTTTCTCGGCTTAGACGATGTTTATTTTTAAAATTACTTCGCCAATGAACTCATAAGATGGGTCGTCGTTTTTTAAGCACGTTTAAGGTGGCTCAATACACTTTTTAGCCAAAGGAGCAAAAGTTGAATATTTTCTGTTTAAATGCTTTTACAGGGTTAAGTTTTACTTATAATTGTAACACATAGTAAGACGTGTCACAGACAAGAAGAATTCTGATAAAAGTCGCGTTTCCATGACAACTATAACGAATACTGGCAACACTAAATAGCCGAAAATATCGCAGTTTTTCGAGTTTTTTTAAAAAATGAGTTCGGTGACCCCAACTTTTTTTTTAATAAATCAGTTACGTTAGTGTCGAGAAACATTTCTGGGAAGTTTAAAAAAAATCTGTCGACTCAATAGACCTTTCCCCTTATAACCAAAATTTTGATCTAGGCAAGTCTAGACAAATATTTCATCACAGCTTGAAAGAGCATCACAAAATTAGTAATATTCCAAAGTTTCGTTGCGAAATGTTGTAAAATGCGGATAATATAGCCTTGCGAAATTTGCAATTTTCAGTCATTTTAGATTACAAACGGGAAATTGCAGCCCCAACACCCGAATCGTATGTCAATTTCCCGTTTGTAATACAAAATGACTGAAAAACGGCAAACTTCGCAAGGCTATATTATCGGAATATTACTAATTTTGTGATGCTCTTTCAAGCTGTGATGAAATTTTTGTCTAGATCGAAATTTTAGTTATAAGGGGAAAGGTCCATTCTTTAGAATTAAATTTCGACTTTTTTGACAGTTTCTGTCGACAATTTTTTTTTATTTTTCCATCATGAAATCTTGAAGCATGTATCTACTCATGTACAAATTTTCAGGGTACCTTACCGAACTCGTTTTGGAAATAATCACGGTTTTATTCCGCGCGGCCAAAGTTTTTCACACTCTGCAAGATCAATGAATTGACATGCGCGTACATGTTTTCGCAGGCGCATCTCCAGAAAAACACGCACAAAAAAGTTTTTAGTCTCGTCGAAATATCAAATATATATTGTGTTTTCTTGCTTAGAAATGCAAATATATTTGGTTTTTCATGCTAACTCGGGATAACGCCAAGAAAACAGGTGATTGTCGGTCGTTTGGTATAAGATATGTGTGACATGTATGAACTTTTTGGCTTTTCTACATAGTTTTATATTCGTTTTCAGTCGTAACTTGTGTGTTTTCATGTTGTTGTTGACAAGTTAAAACAGTTTGAACCGGCGCACGATGCTGTTTCACTGAATTCCTTTGCTGTTAGTAACACTTTGAATACATTTACCAGTTGTAAGTACAAAAAAACTCAGTAAAAAACTTTTCGCCGGTCCGGGGCCGATCGCCAGTTTTCACAAGAGTTTGAAAGTTGAACATTGCATTTTTTTACCTTAAAATGTCTTCTAAAAAGACTAGTTATTCAATGTTCAGAGCTAAATCAGGACGAAGTTTGTTCTTTGAGAACAAATGAGAACAAGGAAGACTCAAAACATCAAAATAAACATGACTTGTGGTTCGGATTTTATACCGAAAAAGTTGTATTTATTTTTGCATATATTTTTAACATTTTCGCGCGAGAACTGAAGATTAGGTACCAGTCCCCCAATGATGAAAAGTGTATGGAGCCACCTTAATCGCACAAAGACCGGCTGCTCATGTTTTAACTAGTACTTAAAATTTGCATAGCATGACCAAATTGTCGGGCTGGCTTCGCCAGTGCCTGAAGGTATCCTAATAAGGTGATCAGCCTAGAACACCTAATCGTGGTTTCTTTGGCACTCTCAATCTGCCTATGACTAAACCGATCATTACAAACCCACAAACCTTATAGATTCCTCCTTCTTTCGTTACAAATCGAATGGTATACGTATCCTTGGTGCTTTCCACAATCTCGGCCGGTTCCGTCTTTCCAGAAGGTGTTTCCACACTGGCTTTCAAATTTTTCAGATCATATCCCGCCAGGTCCAATGCGAAGTCGTGGGGCTGTTGTGGACTAAATGATATAAGATCGTCCAGAAGTTGAGAGGTCCTCTGCGCAGGCGCATTCTCGACGTCTTCAACGACACCTCTGGATATTCCTTCTTCAACGATTGGCCGTCTCTTCCCGCCTTTCGGAGCAACGTTGCAAGTGAACGGACTGCCGGGAATTTCTTCATCGGCAAAGCGGACGTGGATCGTGTAGTCGCCCGGTTCGGAGGGTACAAAGTCCACGGTGCACGTGCCATCTTCGTTGTCCACACAGTTGATCTCGGCTTTAGATGGTCCTTCGATTGAGAGTCCCAGACCCCCATAGCCCGCATCACGGGTATTCACGGTGAATTCCGATCTCTCGTCGACAACACCAGATTCCAAACCTTCAGAAGAAAATAGATTCAATTTCATGAAGCGTAAATTAATGATGGGGTCAAGAGCGAGGTTTATTTACATTTTGAGCACACTGTATACTGTATTCAGAAAATATGATGTACTTAGTTAATATCTAACAACGTTCTAGTTTGCTATGCTTTAAATAGTACATAGATTAGAGTTTCAATTTGGAAGATGTCGAAACAGCGTGAAATTTGGGTATTGTTTGTATTAGAGGGTCCTCACACATAGCCATGCACAGAGCAGACTTGACCCCGTCTTTAATCAACCAATTGGCGAGAATTACAAACTTCTCTGTAAATAATTTTTCCCCAATATGTGAGGTATTGGTGTCATCAGGACGACGGCCAAGCAAACTGTTTGAAATGATTGTATGAAAATCTTGTCTTTACTGTTGTAAAATCTTGAAATAAGTGATTGTATGAAAATCTTGTCTTTACTGTTGTAAAATCTTGTATTAACTTTCGCATGAATTTTAAAAATACAGTTTCGAACGAGTAGCACAAGATCTGCATAACCTTCAGAGTAATTTTGATCAACTCTGCTACAAGAAAAACTACCCGTCATGGCTTGAAATGCTAACATACAAACCAAGACGTGAAAATACATTTTGCCATTCTCAGCAGAGCTTGGATGACGTCTAAAACCTCTGCTATACTTTTCATTATTTGCTTCATTTGTGCGATAGCATTAATGCCATTGTATTTTTAATAGCCGTCGTCCTGACGTTGTTGTCTTAGATGCGCAAACTCGCTACTAACCTGGTCCATATGCTTTCACCTTCGAAGGATCAGCCGGTCCCGGACCGCTGACCATCACAGAGAACGGGCTTCCTGTCACGTGACGTTTGTTCTTGAATACACTAATCAGATGTTCTCCGGTCTCTTTGGGGATGAACGAGACACTTAGGGTGTTATCAGAGTTCAGGACTAACTTCAGGGGTTCCTCCGCTGCACTGGCTGGTCGTTTGAGTATAGCCGTGAGAAGGTCGAAATCTTCGGGCAGTTTGAGGCCGGGGATTTCCAGTCCCAGTCCACACGGTCGACCAACGGATTGGCTGGCTGCTTCAGGAGCGCTCACCATAACACTAAAAGGACAAGATGATAGTCACGTTTTACTAAGGGTCTTGTAGGTCACTAAAAGGACAAGATGATAGTCGGGTTTTATTAAGGGACTTCTAACCCAACTGAGCTACAGAGGCCAGTTGTCGAGCTCTAACCACAAGCTCAACGAATATGTTCAATTTTTGTAAATTTTTATACGTTTCTTAAGCTGCAAACAAACTTAAGAAGTATGTTCAGTGCTTTATCTGTAAATAATAGCATAGTTGCCCGGGTTTCTTTTGTTTCAACAGGGACGTTTAATCACGTATCGCCCGCTGTAGCGGGCGATTAGTTCTAATCGCCCGCTAGAGCGGGCGATTAGAACTAATCGCCCGTTACCAAGGGTCACACCTTTGTCTCCCTGACGACTACGCATTAGGCAAGTGCCTCACGCACATAATCGTGCAAGGAACAGCAACAGTTAGCTCAGAGCCGTCAATAGTCTATCATCCGATCCCGGAGTCGCCGCATCATTTAAATTACGCACGTGCAGTCTCCAAATTTATACTAATATATTTAGCGTTTTTGTTGTGGTGCGTTAAATCATAGATTGCGCATGCGTAACCGATTAAAGCGTAAAAAGTGCGCATGTGCAACAAGCTTTTACATCCCACAAGCAATGAAGCAAATGTTTTAGCTTAAATACGCTGATTCCAAGTAGGGCATGTTTGTCCATTTTTAAATGGGAGCGAAACTATGCTATTACAAACTAATAGCATGGCTTTTCGGGAGATTAGTGATTAAATGGCCCCTTACCCTCGGCAGGTTTGCGGAATTCCCTCGGGCTTCGCCCTCGGGAATTCCGCAAACCTGCCTCGGGTTACGGGGCCATTTAATCACTAATCTCCCTCAAGCCATGCTATTACTTATAAAAATATATTCTCATCTTTTCAAATCTTTTCATGTTAGCAACCATGCAACCAATTACAACCCATTTCCCTGTTAATTAGCCAATCAGCTATTCCGACCACCAGGCGATCGCATTCCACGGCGTTTTGAAAACATTTTCATCAGACCTACGTTTCGTCCTTCGTCGACCCGCGAATTTTAGGCCGGGCGAAACGTAGGTCCGTTTTCAGGCTAATCAGAAAGCCGCTTTAACACAGGTATGGGATAATCACCGTGGACAGGCATATTTTTCAAGCTTGCCCGGTGTGGATACACACTCAAAGTAACATCACAAGCATCATATTCACCTGAGTACATCACACCAACACAGAAAATATGATTATTAGATTACATTGGTATCGAAGGAACTAGATTCTGTTCCCAAATATCACATACTCGAACCGACTTGACCGCGTAGCTCAGTTGTCAGAGCATTGGACTAGTATTCCAAAGGTCGTAGGTTCGATTCTCACCGTGCATGGACAGGCATATTTTTCAAGCTTGCCCGGTGTCGATATACACTCAGAGTACATCACAAGCATCACCTTGAATAATATTGTGATATTAAATCTTACAGAGTGACATACCCCTTTTGCAAATGCACAGTAATAAAACACTTAAAATATAGATATTTTTAATATACAGTTTTAATTTATATTATTAAAACACTACAAATATTGCTTCTACCGTAGTTCTACTATTTTCTTCTTGTTTTCGAAGTACTCTTGAACCTTTTTCTTTTCACGAAGCCCGTTCATGTTTGTATTTCGTCATTTGTTCGTCCGGTTCTAATCATATTTCCATCGCGACATCGCCCGTAAAGGCATAATAGAAGTTGTTTTTGAAAACGAAGTGGCTATTCGTTTAACATTGGTTTGCTATTCACGTACGGTAACTTGTTACTTGAAAGTTGAAAATTCCAATTTTTATAAAATAAACTGACCATAACCAGCACCACAACCCTTTTCTCACCCTAACCAATAAATGTTCAATAAACAAAAAAGGTTTAAAAACTTAATGTTTAAAAACTTAATTTTTCCTAAGAAAAATTTATAAATAAAAAATAGTTCAAATAGTGGCTTGATAGTTGGCCCTTTTCACATGTTGTGTTAATGCGTCTTGTGTTGGAGGCAAGGAAGCTCCATCTTTCGAGCCGGTACAAAATAGAAGGTACCTTAACTTGTCAACTGATTCAGTGTTGGACTTACAAACTTGACATACTAGTGCTTCCAACGGAGTGATAAGCTCTCTCTCGGCGTTGAAGGATGGACCCAATTGTGTCAATGCCATTACATACCGGTCGTTTTCCTTCACAAAATGGAAGGAAGTAGCCTTGCCTTTCCCAATAAAGGAACTGATCGAGTCACAACCTGTGAAGGCATGGAGGCCAATTAATGATGCACAAACCGTAGGACCAACTTGCTCAACCATGCAGCGTATGTCAAGAATGCGTTGCTGATCTTTATTGCCTGTAGCAAAGAATAAGTTTGCCTGACAAGATTCTTGCATTGACAAGCTGATGATTGCAACATCCGTCTCTGGGCTCCTAATAATTACGTCTGACCATCCAGATACAGCAGCGTGATGTGCGTGGAGAAGCAACCGTGTGCCTGCTTCCTCGTGACTGCAGGTCAGCTCTGGAATGGGACGTACTGTTGGAAGTGTCCGGTTGCCAAAACATAAACGATCACACAAATCGCCATGGGCAATGAACAAATGAACTTCAAGAGTACGTGGTAATGGAAAGGATTGCTTGGCACCAGGACTTGAACAAGAATTCAACAAGTGCTTCTTTGTTTGAACCACAATTCAAGAATTTCTTCCACTGCGTAGGTGCCTTCTGATCACCACTGAATATCTCAATGGGCTGATATCCATCTGCTGCTCTTCTATTTCTCTCACAGTTCTTGATGCTAAGATCAGGATATCTATCTGTGCCGAAATCTACTCTGTTGCTGTTGTATATCAACATTATCTTCACAATCATTTCAAGGATCATCTGTGCCAACTCTTTAAATGTGGGTGGAATTTTGGCCACCTTCAAACATTGCAGAACAGCCATACCATCTATCATCAGTGCCGAGCCTTGAGGTGGAGCTTATATTATAATTATGGCGATTGTTAGGCACCTCTTGCTCGATCACTTTCAACAACACTGCCTTGTTGGTTTTCGTCAAGCTACCATCACTCCATCAGCACATGCAAGTGAATACGAAATAGGACCAAGGCTGAATTTAAGCACTTCTTGCAGGTTTATATTTCTCGACTTGATAGCAACAAGAAGACGAGAGAACATATTCTTGTCATGTTTCAACAAGTTAAGCTTGAATGACTTGCTGGGTCTCGTCTGAACATCTCCAAAGTTTTTGAGCTTCATTCCCTTCAATGTATCGAATATAGTTTTATCCTTGTCAATCACACACTCTTTCATGTAGCTGTGGATAGAAAAACCATTATCAAACACATATTAGATAACTTACATGTACATTCAAAATTTCCAAGACATCCATGCTCATATATAACTGGTAAATGCCAACCACATGCAGAATGCCTAAACTCTAATTAGCATAAATTTCAGCCAAGATACAAAACAAACAGTTACCTAACAGCTGCTTCTTCTCCCCTGTTTTCGGCTTTTAGCAAGTCCGATTTTACATCAGTTGAAGCAACCAAGCCTGAACTTAAGGAAACAAGTTCTTCCGAGTCATGGGTAAAAGGATTGATCATGCTGTCAATGGTGGAAAGGATGTTTTGTACCGACTGCTCGTCAGCTTCATTTCGGGTTTTATCCAACCTCTTTGGCGTTCTGTTGTTAGAACTGATGCTAGCCATTTCTTGACACTTTTGACTGATTGCTGCTCTGTCAGGTTGTGTTAATAGCCATCGTCTTACAGCTCCTATGATAATAAAAATAATTTGTACGATATTAGTGCAACTGTTACATAACGCTGAAAATATATACAAATAATAACAATTATATTCAACTTAAAAAGGTGTAAAATGTAACAAAACCAACCCCGATTTAGCGAAATGCCACGACGACCTCCGGTAGATTTAGTATCTCTGTTTACAGTTTGCTCTATCGCCTGATCGCAAGCAATTGACGCAAAAAGTGCTGTGCTTGTCGTTGTACAGTTCACTGTCCTTCCATACACATTTAACAAAGTTCAGCAAATCAGCAATTAACCTTTAACTCGACCAAAAGTGAGAGAGTTCAAGATTAACTTCATCGAGAAAACGGTCTAAAGCCGAATGTTTTTATTACTGTAGCTAACATTCTGACATTCTTTTATACTTTCCTTGAGTAGTTTATTCTGTCATATGCAAAGAACAATGGAATCATGAGACGGACAGCATCCAGATGAAGTAGCCAATGGGATGTGCGTGTCGCTCGAAAGAATGATAGCAAGTTTCCTACCATCGATAGGTAAGAGCTCCATAAAGCAAAGCTAGGGCGGTTTTCACTCTCATGGGTAATAAATTAATCGTATTTCACAGCAGGCTCATCCACGCATTCTGAGCCCAATCACGTCTGCGAAATCAGTTTGGGAGCTAGTGAAAACTGTCTTGAAGCCTTTTGATCAAAGATGTTAACACATTCCCCTGCAAGAAAATCTACAAAAGCTTTGAATCTCAGCCTTTCCAGGGCTTCGAACATCAGCTTGTGAGCCCGCATAGCCCAGTTGTAGTGTTTTCCACTTAATACACCGTTGATGGAGCCTACTGTAACAATCCCTGCTTCATCTACGATATCTTGAAACCCAGCAATACCAACCAAAGCGTTTTCAAAGAATTCCCAAATAGGACATCATTGTATGAAATTCTCCCAATCTAATTACCAGTTTGCTTGTTATCACTGGATCTTTCCACCTGATTTCCCGGGCAGCCATTTCAAGAGGGCACTTGCTTCTCAGCGAGCTTTTTTCTGAGCAGCAATATTTGTTAAAACGTTACTGTATGGATACTCGATTACTTCTGGCTACTATTAGACTTGCTCCAAGTCTCGCTTTCATTGTCATATCGATCCACTATAGTGTACATTACGTGACATAGTACGGAGGGGCGGAGCGAGAAAGAGAGACTTGTCAACTTCGGAAAATCTCGGTTCAAAACTGAACCGAAAATGCAAGACTTGCTTTATTTGTTTTCGGTCAGTGTTTATATGTATTGATCTAACACAGTGTAAATAACACGAGTTCCATTATCGTAAATAATACAGAAAAAAATTAAAGGAAAACAATTAAAGCAAATCTTGCAATTTCGGTTCAGTTTCGAACCGAGATTTTCCGAAGTTGACAAGTCTCTCTTTCTCGCTCCGCCTCCCCGTGCTACGTCATGTAATGTACACTATAGTGGATCGATATTATATGACAATGAAAGAGAGACTTGGAGCAAGTCTAGGCTACTAAGGGTCGCAAACTTCGACATTAATTTGAACAATTTTATATGTTGCACCGTGCTAAAGGCCATAGGCGTATCGGCCGGGGAGGCATGGGGGGGTGGGGCACAGGCCCCCCAAAAAATTTTAAAGGCGGGCAATTGAGCGGAAATCCATGTGTCATTCGGACAAAACATATAACTCTCATCAAAGTTGATAAGACGAACCGCGGTCTACAATGAATAATTAATTTTAAAAAACTCATTAATAATTCATTAGCAAAACACTAAGAAAAATCATAAGCGTGTCGTGGTTTTATAAGTGATAAAAAATCATGTTAATTTACATAAACTTTAGCTTTGAGTTTCTCGGTTTAGACAATGTTTATTTTAAAAATTACTTCGCCAATGAACTCGTATAAGATGAGTCGTTCTTTAAGACATTTAAAGCACGCGTAGGAGTGTTTTATCACATATAAAACACTCCGCTACGCGTCGTGTTTTATATGTGATAAACTGACACTCCTACGCGTGCTTTAAACATATGGGGTCCAACTAAGAGCTGTGTTTATATGAGTATGAATAAAACATTAATTAAACGTAATATGAATAAAACATCATAACGTAATATATTTAAATTATTGCACTTACTTGTATAAATCATAAGAGCTTGTATTTCCAGTGAATAGCGTCAAACAGGGCGCTTATATATGTTCAGAAACATTGCTTCAAACGATTGTTCAAATATGACGAATAAATTGACAAAACGAAAATATTACATGACGTTCCATCGAAAATAACAGCAGAAATTGTGGGCGCGCGAGCGAAAAGGCGACGGAAGAAATAAATAAAAGGGATGAAACAAATATCACGTGACTTTTTAAAATGCTTCTAGACTATCCGTTTAAGCTTTGTGTGGGTTTTTTAAGGCTCAGTCGATGTTCTCTTACATGAGCAAGCCTAGTCATTACCAAAAAAGCACTGATCAATCTAATTTATGTGATTTATAACAGCGAGCATTCTTGGCCATTTTCGCGAGATGTGTTCCATAAGTAGCTTGTTCTCGTGACGTATGACGAAATAATAATAAAACTAAATAATGTAAAAAAAACGTTGGTCGCTACATTTAAATATTTCATATTAGCCGGTATAGCTAAACATTGTCCCCGAGCCGACGGCGCGAAGCGCCGTGCGAGGGTACTAATTCCCACCGGCTATTTACACCCGGGGAAACGAAAGCATTAGCGGAGTCTAAAGTTCATCAAATATCGCGGGCGTGGGTCACCAACGGTGTTGGGTGGGTGGTCATCCTCACTGACCTCAAAAATATGGCGGACTGTCATGAATAGCGGACACTGATTGGTCCAATTTAAATTTGCATAAACGACTGCATCACGACAGCGAAATAGAAAACATTTCTTGATTTGATGATTCATGATTGATAAATTTCTTGCGAAGATATTTCATTTTTACTCGCATTTTTGCAATATTTTGTAAATTTCAAAAGCTCTCGATCTCAGAATGAAACTGCGAAAGAATCGGCTAAAAGAAGGGAGCCGACGTTAACGAAGGTAAGTTTGTTTTAAATATTGATTTTATAATGGCTTTAAAACCTGACGGCCTTTGCGTATATGAAACAACTAAACAAGACAGAATATAATTTCAGTGTATCTTTATGAATCTTTAATATTAATTCTCTTTTTTATTATATTGAATTTTTTAAATAAAAGCGAGAATTTGAAATCGTTTTATTGCAAACTCAAAGTTTATCGATAAAGCCATTTAATTAAAGGCAGTTTAGTTAAAGATCACTTTAAAACGTTTTGCGAAGCGTTTGTGGTTGAATTTTACCTTAAATTGAGGCTTATATTACGTATAATAACATACCTAACATATATATGTTGGGAAATTAATAATTTTGTAATTAACTGAAATGATATTTTTAGGGGATTTTTCATTTGTAAGAATATTCTTAAAAAATTATCGTGTTGCCATGACAACTACTTTAGAACATCATGTTCGGAAAATACAATGGTTTTGTCAGCAAGGCGAGGGTTTCTGCATGCATGTATTTTCTAGTTCATTTTCATTAATTAAGCGCTTAGGCGTTGTTGGAGTTGGCAGGAGGCGTTTTGGAATTTTCCGAGAGAACAGGCTACTTATGGAACACATCACACGATCGCATTACCGGTGTTTCGTCCCTTCTATTAATATCTATAACCCTCGCCTTCCGCTCGCGCCCGCAATCCTTGCTGTTATTTTCGCGGGGACGTCATGTAATATTTTCGTTTTGTCAATTTATTCGCCATATTTGAATTTTGAACAATCGTTTGAAGGCTTTGAAGCAATGTTTCTGAACATATATAAGCGCCCTGTTTGAAGCTTTTCACTGGAAATGCAAGCTCTTATGATTTATACAAGTAAGTGCAATAATTTAAATATTTTACGTTATGATGTTTTATTCATATAACGTTTAATTAATGTTTTATTCATACTCATATAAACACAGCTATTAGTTGGACCTCCTGTGCTTTAAATAGAATATAATGACGCCAATATTAATTAATTACACCTGTATATGAATGATGAATGCTCAATATGGCATGATTATGAAGTTTGCAGAAAGATTGAACATTGTTCTTAGTTTTTGTCTTAGTGTTTCTAGACATTTCGGTTAAACTTCTGCTAAAGCAGTCTTTACACAATCATACTCATTTGTTTACCGGGTGTCCAAAAAAAAGTACTCCAGTTTGATTCTTAATAACTTCAAAGCGAGTGAAGCAATTAGACTCAAATAACTTTCATTAATTAAATACAGGAAAGGCTCACTTAGATTTTGATATGTTAGATGTAAGTTTTCGCTCATTATCTACTGAGATATTAACGTTTGAATTTATGCTACTTTTTATTGATTTTTAAAAATACCCGAAAATAATAACACCCGGGTAACAAATTTTCTTGAACGGCTTATTCATATTTTGAGCATAGTCTCAAACGAACAAACTGAAAGTTGACTGTTTCTATGTCTGAATAGGATGAATATGGTAGTTTAAATAATACTGTTCTACATGTCTTTTTGCGAATACATAATACTGTATCAGCGCTATATTTTTCATACATTTTGTTCAAAGAATGTTGTATGTCCTTGGGGAATTGCATGTTATGTTATGTTATGTTATGTTATGTTATGTTATGTTATGTTATGTTATGTTATGTTATGTTATGTTATGTTATGTTATGTTATGTTATATTATGTTATGTTATGTTATGTTATGTTATGTTATGTTATGTTATGTTATGTTATGTTATGTTATGTTATGTTATGTTATGTTATGTTATGTTATATTATGTTATATTATGTTATGTTATGTTATGTTATGTTATGTTATGTTATGTTATGTTATGTTATGTTATGTTATGTTATGTTATGTTATGTTGTTATGTTATGTTATGTTATGTTATGTTATGTTATGTTATGTTATGTTATGTTATGTTATGTTATGTTATGTTATGTTATGTTATGTTATGTTATGTTATGTTATGTTATGTTATATTATGTTATGTTATGTTATGTTATGTTATGTTATGTTATGTTATGTTATGTTATGTTATGTTATGTTATGTTATGTTATGTTATGTTATGTTATGTTATGTTATGTTATGTTATGTTATGTTATGTTATGTTATGTTATGTTATGTTATGTTATGTTATGTTATGTTATGTTATGTTATGTTATGTTATGTTATGTTATGTTATGTTATGTTATGTTATGTTATGTTATGTTATGTTATGTTATGTTATGTTATGTTATGTTATGTTATGTTATGTTATGTTATGTTATGTTATGTTATGTTATGTTATGTTATGTTATGTTATGTTATGTTGTTATTTTATGGTTTAATTGTGTTTCATTGAGTATATATGCCAAGAATTGGCATACAATTGAGTATATGCCAAGATTAACTAAAGATCAAGGAGTTTGGATTTTGCCTACAGCATGCAAGATTCCAAAACGCGGCAGAAATTAGAAGACGATGGCCGCGGGCTGACTCTTCCACAGTCCCTCATTTGTACGCGCGGTCGCGTAATTTGAGCAGCACTGATTTGAGGGACTGTGAAATCGTGACTCGAAAACTTGCAAAAACACTCGAAAACTTGCAAATGTGCTCGAAAACCTAAACATTCGTCGAATATGGAAGAAATCGTGGATGTTTTGGACGATAGCGGTGCTTTGCTGTACATGGGAAGTGTTTTGTCTGAATCGTGCGAGGAATTAGAGATATAAATGGAATATTTATCTCTTGAAGACCATGATGGTGAGTGTTGACATTTTATAGCAATATGCCTTTGACCCTTCGACTGTAAAAATATATTATATAGGCGAGATTTTGATTAGGTTTTCGTGTTTTATACTGTTTCATAAAAGTGATTGTACCTTTACAAGTTACAACTTCGTAAAAGCTGGGTAAATGCTCTATAATACGGATTATTTTTATTTAATTCTGCAGAATAATTTCGACGCGCTATTTTATATAAATATATACGCCAATTAACATGTCAACAAATATGAAGTCAACAAGAAGTCCTGCTCAGGGGAAACATGAACTGAACCGCCCTCGTCTAACCGTTTTGCCAAAAACGAATATATTTTATGTTGGTCTTAAGAGTTAAGTTACTCTTTGTTTTTGCCAAATGTGTAAGACTTTTCACTTTTGCTTAAAATAGCAAAATGTGAAATATGCATGCTGAATAATAATTTTTTTAATGAAAATTATTTAGCCAATGGGGATCTCAGGTTCTAGCTCCTTGGTTAGTCGTCGGCATTTGAGGTTTAGGAGTTCTGAACACTGAGGCCTCCATGTTATGAATTTATTTTAACCTCTGTGTTTTACCTAGACCCCCC